GTATATTGAGCATGTCTTATTTTTTTTTTTAAGATTTTATTTATTTATTTGAGAGAGAATGAGAGAGAAAGAGAGAGCACATGAGAGGGGGGAGGGTCAGAGGAGAAGCAGACTCCCTGCTGAGCAGACAGCCCGATGCGGGACTCGATCCTGGGACTCCAGGATCATAACCTGAGCCGAAGGCAGTCGCTTAACCAACTGAGCCACCCAGGCACCCGAGCATGTCTTATTTTTGTAACCTCCAACCAATAAAGGGCCCTAGATTCCCTCTAGGGATTCTCTTTACAACATACATTCAAGACAGTCCAATTCAGCAACACTTAATGCACCTAATGATGGGCCAGGCCCCCACCTGGGTGGAGAGGCAGCTTCTATATAGAAGAGCAGAGGAGACAGGGAGCGGACCTGCTGGGTGGCCTTGGGAAAATCACCTAACTTCTCTGAGCTTCACTCTCCTCTTTTCAAAACACAGATGTGACCATAACTGTAATGAAAATGAAGGCACAGACCTAGAGGTTCTGGGCACGTGGTCCTCACCAGGAACCATCTCACACGGTCCCTGAACAGCCCCGCTGGGTGGGTACCCTGAGTGCCTCCATTTTACAGAGGAAGAAACTGTGGCTCCTGGAGGTGACCTGGAAGGCCCGGATCACACTCACAGCAGGCGGCGGCATCAAGATGCAGATTCTGTCTGAGTCGCAGGTCAAAACCCCCACCTAGGTCCGCTCTGCCCTCCCCTTGTCCCTCTGCTCCTGGCTTCCAGATAGGGGGTGTCACCGTCTAGACCACTCGACAACCATCTCTGTGGTTTACGCATTTACTATTTGCTCCCCGCAGAAGGCCGGTTCCACGAGGAGGGACTTGGTTAGGCTCACTGGCACATCCCAGTAACTAGGACTGTGCCTGGCACAGAGCGGCTACCACACGACTATTTGTTGAGCGAGTTCATGAAAAGTGAAAGAATTCCCTAGTAAAGAACCGAAGAGGGACACCTGGGTGGCTCAGTCCGTTGAGTGTCTGCCTTCAGCTCAGGTCATGATCCCAGGGTCCTGGGATGGAGCCCCACGTCAGCTCCTTGCTCAGCGGGGAGCCTGCTTCTCCTTCTGCCCGCTCTGCCTGCCGCTCTCCCTGCTTGTGCTCACTCGCTCTCTCTGACAAATACACTCTTTAAAAACAACAAAAAAATTCTTTTTAAATAGAGAAAAAAAAAAAAGGAACAAAAGTGACCCTGGGGTCATGGAGACCAAGCATTGCCCCTTCAAGGTCACAGGGCTGAGGAGGACGTGCGCCAGGTCCCTCATTTCCACTAAGCCCTGCCGCTCCCCAGTCCAACACCTCAGCTCAACAGCCCCGTCCTCGGCTGCCCGAGGCTCGGGAGTAAGTCCGGTCGGAGAAGGGTCGGGACAACAGTGAAGATGGCTCCGTGCATTTCTGGCTAGACCTCTGCCTTCAGGGCTGTTTGTGCCTCCGTTTCTGAACTGGGAACACGGCACCTGCTGTCCCTCTGACTCAAGGTGGAGAAGGACCAGGAGGAACACGCAGAGCTCGCCCTTCCTGCCTCATTCCGCCCTCACCACCGGCTGGGCCGGCCCGAGGTGCCCGAGGTGCCCGAGGTACAGCCAGTCAGACCCACGCTCCAGCCTAGGGCAGGGGCTGATGCTGTGAGGAGCTGTCCCCAACACAGGGCCACGGGGTCAGGGCTGAGAGGCCCCTCGTTTTCTGACACATCGCTGTGGACTGGACGAGAAAACAGAGGCCCAGGGAGGGAAGGGAGGTGACTCGGGACAGGAAGGAATCCGTGGCGGGTCCAGGCAGTATAAGAACGTGAGTGTTGCCTCCCAGCTCAGGGCTCTCCTCTCTGAGCACAGGAACACCCAGGACAGACCCCGTCTGCTCCACATGGGTACCGGCCCCCATTCCCGCGTCCTGACCAAGGGGAGCCAAGAGCATGCAGTCTGAGACTGACAGGCCAGGCAGGGGCCCCAGCTCTGACCACAGCCCCGGCCTCCCTACAGAGACACCGTCAGCCATGACACGGGCATCCTCAAGCATCTGCTGGGGCACAGAGGCCTGACCGGCGGGCCGGAGACCTGTGACAGGCCCGCGGCCTCTGGGTCCCACCGGCTGCCGTGGGGGGTCAGGGGCCTGGCAGGCACCAGGTCTGGCTTCTTGGGAGCCAGATGAGGCCAGTAGGAGAGGTGGAGCAGGAGACACAGGTACCAGAGCCCGGGCGTGGGCGTGGATAGCTCAGCGACTCTACCATTAGACTCCGTGGTGGTTCAAGGGCCTGGGGCCTGGGCCTCCAAACAAGCAAAGAATCCTGCTAGGTGTCTAACTCCCCACCCCCCGCCCCCACAGCCTAGGTAATTACCAGTTAAAACCACTCAAACTGAAAGAGTTCTACTAGTGCAATTAGCACATCAGAATAAAGAAGGCCCTTCTGACAGCTGGCTGGGCCCGCCCACAGACTGGGCTTCCACCGAACAAAGATCTGCCTGTTAATCCCACAGCGTCCGAGGCCTTAGATCTTAATGAAACACGCACAGACAACGTGGGAAGAAGCTGACATCTGGAATCCACAGGCCCTGGATGATGTCATGAATGTGCTGTGTGGCCCTGGGCTGGCCATTTAACCTCTCTGAGCCCATGAAAAGGGGGCTGGTAAAAGAGCTTACATGTTACTAGATGGATGAAACAAAGACTCTTCAGGCTATAGAACTTCAAGTGCTAGTTTTTATTCTAAAAATAGGTAAAGGGACGCCTGGGTGGCTCAGTTGGTTAAGCGGCTGCCTTCCGCTCAGGTCATGAACCCCGGATCCTAGGATCGAGTCCCACATGGGGCTCCCTGCTCAGCCGGGAGCCTGCTTCTCCCTCTGCCTGCTGTTCCCCTTGCTTGTGCTCGCGCTCTCTCTCTCTGAAAAATAATCTTTTAAAAAAATTAAAAATAAATAAATACTAGAAATTGGTATAGACAACTTTTGGTTGGCTTTTAAAATCTGTTTCTGGGTTGCACATAAGAAGTGTGGGACATTCCCAACACACCCAGCCAAGGCTGGGCAGCAGCTGGGAGGGACTGGGGTCGGCAGGACCAGGCCAGGTGCACCTACAAGAAGGCTGACTTTCTGCTCCTCCCATCTATCAACCAATGACACAATAACCTTGACGATGCATTGATCTCTACGAGCCCCATTTTACAAGGAAGGATCTGTGACTCCAAGAAGGCAAGGGATTTGCCTAAGGTCACCCAGCAGAGGCAGGAGAGAAATCAGACTTGTCTGAGCTAAGGGTGCTGCTGGATTCACAATAGCTCCCACCAAGGCTGTGCACGCCTTGACCCAGGGGATGCTGGGGAAGCAGGACATTGGCTGGGCAGTGACTCACTCTAATGGATGTTGCCCTTAGGGACATTCTCAGGATGACTGTGTCCACAACCCCTCTTGGTTGTGAGCCCCAGGTCAGCTTGTCCTGAGGACAGGGCTCTAGCCTCAGTTCCACACATGGTCTCTTTTGTCCTGAGTCTCCCACCCTGCCCTTAACCAGGAAGGTGGCATTCAGAACCCACTGACCAAGTCCTATGCCTGGCACCCGGCTCTCAGCAGAGGTTAACAGCCACTTCCTGCTGCTCACTCCCCACCTCAGCCACCCACCAGCTGTGGGGTGTGGGGGACAGAGGTCTCCTTGGCTGTCCACTCCCCCTGCCCTAGTAGAGGAAGCAAATGGCTGAAAACCCCCAGAAAACCTGCTGTTGCTCCATCCCCTGGGTTTCTCTGCCTAAACCCCTCTGGAAGCTCTCTCCACCCTGAAAGCCTGCCCTCCTGACAGTAGCAATACCACCTCCTTGAGGACTGGATGTAGGGCCAAACAACCTGAGCCTGTCCTGATTGGGCCAGGGAGAGGCTGTGCTATCCTGGGCATGACACTGTCTCTCTGAGCTTCACTGTCCTCATCTGGGAGATGGGGAGGAGCATCATTTCTGTTCCCAGGGTTGTGCGGAGGGGTAAGGCTGTAGGTGAAGGGATGCTGGTGGCCTTGGCAAGGGTCCTGTCCCCACCTCAGCCTGAGCGGCAGTCCTTGAATGCCCAGATCCAGTCTGGTGTCTGCTCCAGCCCAGACCCCTGGCCCTCACTGGCCACAGACAGGAAGCAAAGCAGATAGGGGACATTCACGACTAGATTAAAGAGCATTTAGTAATGGGAAAGACATCTTTGAGTACTCTAACCACAAACGGCTCCACGACTTGGAGAAAAAAATTCTGCAGAAAGGAAAGGCTGGGCTTTGTGTGGAAGAATGACGAGGGTCCAAGCGGCGTACTGGGTCCTTCCACGGGCCTGGACACTCACTGCATGCCAGCCATGTCCCAGGTGCTAGGCCCAGGGTGACAAGATCAGGGACTGCCCCACTGAGCTCGGAGTCTACTCCTGCCCCGCCCGCTGCCCTGACAGCCACACCCTCACCTACAGGAATTGGGGCTCTGGCCAGGGAACAGGCAGCTGTGCACTCACGACACCTGGGTTCTCAGCTCCGGTCACTTTGATGATGTGACCGGGGCTTTCCACACTGAACTTTGTCCCTCTCTCCAGTACCGCCCTTATCACTGTGACAGCATCCGGTCCTGTTTACTCATCTGTCTCCCCAGGACCAGACGGTCTTCCTGGCACTGCCCGGTCCACCCGACATGAGATGATGATCCCTACCCTTGGGTGTGTTCGGGAGCGGGACGAATGCGCACATCCCTGCGACTCACATTCGCGCCTCTGCCCCTGCCGGTCGCCCAACCCACGAGGCCCACAGTCCTTGGACTTGGTGGCCCTGAGCTCCACACGTCCCACCCCTCTGTGGGGGCGTGGCCACGACCAGGGGGCACCTGTTCGCCGCAGGGGCGCACACTGGCCAAGCTGGTGCACGGGCCCCTGCCGCCCGTGCTGGGGCCCGGGGGCCCGTCCGCACCGAGGCCGCACGGTCACCGGCGCCCCGGACGCCCAGCCGGCGGCCGCACTCACCCATGTTGACGAAGCTCATGACCAGGTCGGCGCGGCCCGGGGGCCGCTCCGGGGGGCCGCCGTCCTCGTCGTCGGCGGCGGCCATGGCGTGGTACAGGTCCAGCATGAAGAGCGGCGCCGACGCGGGCAGCCGGGCGGCGGCGGGCGGCGCGCGGGGCCGGGGCCGCCCGGGCAGCCCCAGCACCGCCAGGATCTCGCGCTGCATGTCGCGGCGCTCGCGCGGGCCCAGGCGGCGGGCCGGGCAGCCGGCCGGGGGGCGCGGGCCGGGGCCGCCGCCGCTCAGCGCGCACAGCGCCAGGCCCACGAGCCACAGCGGCCCGGGACGCGCGGCCATGGCGGGCCGGGCGGGCGCTCAGCGGGCGCGCATCCGCTCCGCGGCCGAGCCGGGGCCGGGGCCGCCCCGACGGCGAGCGGCGGCCGAGGCTCGCGGTCGGCGGCTCGGGCGGGCTCGCCGGGGCCGCGGCGCTGTCTCAGCGCGTCTCCCGCGCCGCACCTGCTGGGCTCCCGGCGGCGTCGACGAGGCCTCCGGCGCCTCGCGGTAGGAGCTCCTTCGGGGCCCGGGGACAGGCGGCCAATCTGTCTGTGGCCGCCGTGCCGTCAGGCCGCTGCTGCCGAGGCCGGCTCGGAGGCAGGGGCGGCGGGCAAGTTCCCGTCCGCGCTGCAGGCGGCGCGGACCCGCGGGCGTCTCCTCAGTGGGACCTGCCGTCTGCGCCGCGCGCCCCGCCTCCGCCGCCCGTGGGGCCCGCGCGCCGCCGTCGGGCCCCGCCCCTTCCGGCTTCGACCAATGGGGGCGCGGGGCGGGGCCAAGGCCGCGGAACCGACGCCGCGGGAAGGGGCTGGGGATCTCGGTTGGTGTCGCGGGTGCTGGCGACCCCGAGATGTGAGCCGCTGTTGGGTGCTGGACGGCCGGGTGAGGGGTCCCTGTCCAGCCGTCGGAACTTCGGAGTCGTGCTAGGCTCCTCTCCCAGCCACTGGGGGCGTCGTCGGGCGAGCGAGGGGCCTCGGCCTGGGGACCCCAGGGTAGCGGCGCTGTCTGGGGAAGTCGGGGACCTGCACTGCGCGGGGCGCGTCCTCGAACCGTCTCGCCCGGGCGGGGATCCGGAGTCTCCGTCCCACCTGGGAGCCACCCGGCAGTCCCGCCTGGTGCGCATTGTGTCGCTCCGGGACCTGAAAGGCCTCAGTAGGGTCTAGAGGTAGGGGGGCACCGCAGGTGCCAGTCGCGCCCGGAGAGTGGGACGCGTTCCTCCGCCAGCCGCCGCCTCCGCAGTTCCTCCCTGGCCACCCAGCGCCTTCCCCGCTGTCCCCTTGCACGCGCTGTTGGGGGCTTCTCCTTCCCCGACACCTGCTCAGTCTCTGCTCCCGGGCGCCCACACACCTGGCTCCCGCGTGCTCGCGGCCCGCGCCCCAGGCGGGCTCCCCACACTGCCCGATGTTCCCGCGACCGCATCGTCACCGCAAGCTCTCGCTGTGCGGCCTGCGGCCCCCGGCGCTGATCCCGCCGCGCACGGGAGATGCGCACAGGCCTCCAGCCGGGCCAAGGAGCTCTGCGGCCCTTCCGGAGGGCCCGGGAAGCTCCCTTTGCGCGTCTTAATTGTCAGGGCCCCCAAGGGCTTGCAAGAGAAGGCTCTGCACGGAAACCCCTCCATTGACTCAGCCCCCTTCCGCACACTCCGCCCTTCCTGGGCGCCCTCTCGCTGCATTTATTCATTTACGGCTGAGGCGCTGCGCTGGGAGGAAGTGACACCTAGACTGAGCTCGGAAGGCTGGAAGGAATGGGCCTGGGATGACAGGAAAGGTCAGTGGGAGAAGAATGTACCAGGCAGAGGAAACTGCTGGTGTCGTGCGACTCCAGGGAGCGTAGTGCAGGTAGCACTCCGCACTTAGCTTGTGCCATGCGTGCTCTGCGTCACCGCTTTAATGCTCGCACATACAGGGTAGACGCCATTTCAACCCCTTCTTTTGACAGACGAGGAAACTGAGGCGCGCAGAGGTTAAGGACTTCCCCTGTCACAGAACAGTGGAGCTAGGCTTGGGCAGGTGAGCTGTTCAGTAGAACCTGGACAACCTGGGGGGCAATGGCTTGGGTGAGGGTAAGGCTGAGGGCCTGGCAAAGGTTGGACCCAAAGGACCTTGCAGGAAGACTAGATGAGGGCCCTGGACAAAAGATGGTTATGGGGCCCCAGTGTGGGTTCGCGATTAAATTTCAAAATAAATTAAGAAGTCCACCAAAATTAAGAATTCTTCATGATCACTTAAACTTTTAAAAAGTGCTTAGCTGGCTCAGTTGGTAGAGTGTGGGACTCTTGATCCCGGCTTGTGAGTTCAAGCCCCATGTATGGGTGTAGCGATTAGTTCAAAAAGTCTTTTAGGGGAGCCTGGTGGCTCAGTTAAGTGTCTGCCTTCGGCTCAGTTCCTGATCCCAGGGTCCTGGGATCGAGCCCCGCATGGGGCTCCCTGCTCCGTGGGAAGCCTTCTTCTCCCTCTCCCACTCCCCCTGCTTGTGTTCCCTCTCTCGCTGTGTCTCTCTCTGTCAAATAAAATCTTTAAAAAAAAAATCTTTTAGAAATATCAGAACTTTGGGGCACCCGGGTGGCTCAGTTAGTTAAGTGTCTGCCTTTGGCTCAGGTCGTGATCCCAGAGTCCTGGGATCTAGCCGGGAGTCAGTCTCCCTTCTCAGCGGGAGAGTCTGCTTCTCCCCTTCCCTCTGCCTCTAACCCCTGCTCATGCTCTCTCTCGCTCGCTCGCTCACTCTCTCTCGCTCGCTCACTCTCTCTCAAGTAAATAAATCTTTAAAATAAACCAAAAAATATCAGAACTTTTACATCAAATTTTAAATCTAAACAGTCATTTGTTGGGGCCCCTGGCTGGCTCAGTCAGTAGAGCATGCGACTCTTAATCTTAGGGTCCTGAGTTCAAGCCCTATATTGGGTGTGGAGCCTACTGTACATAAATTAATAAACAAAGAAACAATCATTTGTTGGTGTCTTAGGCCCATGCTTAGTCTGCCTTAGTCTGTCACCCAACGGGTGAATTTCTACACTGTTTATAAGCCCCTTAAAGATGTTGCAGCTTAGCCACTGAAGATGCCCAAGACAGAGTCTGCTGCAGGGGCGAATACGGATTGGAGGGACGAAGATTAGAGTCAGGGCCCACAGTGGGAGGCAGGTACAGTAATGACGGCGGGTGGACAATGACCATGATCCTTTTTGGTGACAGGGTGGAGGGTGGAGGAGAAAGCAGTTGAGGAGGCTGCATCCCCCGGGCTTGGTGACTGCATAGAGAGGCAGGGGCAGAGTCAAGGGGGCATCCCCGTGTCAGGCTTGTTCAGGGTCTCAATCTCCTGTCCTCTTCACTGTCCTTCTCTGGGCATCCCTCTGTTCCCCTTGGAGTCCACACCACATCATCTGGAGCCTCAGGTCTAGCCTGTAATCCTCAGGTTGTGTATTGTACAACACTGGGCTTCCAGCTAGACTGTAAGCAGCCCAGTGCGGGCTGATTCTTAGAGCAGAAATCATTTATCTCCATTTAGGGTGAGCAGAGATAGCTGTGTTCTTTAAACAATGGGCCTCACATTCCCATAAACCTAAACATCAGGTTTTAGCCATTCCAAAGGGTGTCAGCTCACAACTCAGTTCAACAGCAACCACCATGGGCCGCTCCATCCTCTGCCCTGAGCCAGAGGTGAAGCCAACCAGTCCCTGCCCCCTAGTGGCCTGGGCCCCCAACCAGGGTGATAGTCAAGTGAACACAGTCTGTACAGAAGGCAGAACTGAAGCTGCGCTCCGAACCCCAGGGCTGGCAAAGCGCCTGGAAGGGCAGAGGACAAGGAGCTGGGACGTGGGGGTGGGGATGTGAGTGGAGTCCTAGAACTCAGGAACTGGAAGGGAACTGAGGTGGGAAGGTCTCTTGAAGAAAGTGGTGTCAAACAAGGGCTTTCCCCAGCCACCTGGTGCGCCGTGACCTTGGGCAGTTTCTGAACCTCTCAGGCTGTTGCTCACCTGTGAATGGGGTCACGACGGTGGGGTTGTAGACTGAACACTTAGCAGTGACTGGCCTATGGCAAGTAGTCAGTAAATGTTAGCTGTTGTTGCTTTATCATTCAAAACCCCAGGGGGGCGCCTGGGTGGCTCAGTCGGTTGAGCGACTGCCTTCAGCTCAGGTCATGATCCTGGAGTCCCAGGATAGAGTCCCGCATCGGGCTCCCTGCTCAGCGGGGAGTCTGCTTCTCCCTCTGACCCTCCTCCCTCTTGTGCTGTCTCTCATTCTCTCTCGCACATAAATAAAATCTTTAAAAAACAAAAACAAAAACAAAAAAAACCCAGGGACTCCTGCCTCTCTACCCAGCAGACCTACCAAATTTGTATCACATGTTTAGCACTGGTATCCCAGAACTGTAATTTTAAGCTTTTGTTCTGCATCCCTGTATTCTCTATATGGCCTTGCATGTAGGTGTTTGTTGAACGGAAATACACTTTGTGCAGATTCCACCACTAGCTGAGCTTTGTTGCAAAGACTAAGGGAAAACCTGAATTACTTGGTTAAAAAAAAAAAAGTGATCACAGTCCAGAATCTGAAAGGATGGAGGTCAAGCTGTTTTAAGTATGCTTCTGCTGCCAGGAAGCCTGGAGGAGAAGCAAAGTTGGGTGAAAACACTATCCTGCACAATTCGGGCAGCTTGAAGTTACTTAATTCTAGGGGGAATAGAGTAAGCACCTCCTTTAGAATCCATCAGGCTGGATTTCTTTTAATCTGGATATTTGGGTTCAAACAGCTGTGGCAGGGGCGCCTGGATGGCTTAGTCGGTTAAGTGGCTGCCTTTGGTTCAGGTCATGATCCCAGGGTCCTGGGATGGAGCCCTGTGCCAGGCTCCTTGCTCAGCGGGGAGTCTGCTTATCCCTCTCCCTGCCGCTCCCCCCACTTGTGCTGTCAAATAAATAAAATTAAAAAAAAAAATTCTATCAAACTGCTGTGGTAAACATGTATCCATCTCAGCCAATTCCTGATCATATGAGGAGTATGTATGGCTTAATGATCAGAAACTCGGGTGGTCTGAGTTGAAACCCCTCTTTCCTATCTCTCAAGTTGTTATTTCCTAGCCTAATTCCTGTTAGAATTACTTAATATTTGATTTCTAATTATTATAAAGCCAACTAGGGGCTGGAGGAAATAGAAATACCAGGCTTAAATAGAGAATCAATGATTTGATTCAAGGGCCATTTTTGCCATTAATTCTGTGATCTCAGGCAAATAACCCTCTCTCCCACTTTCCCATTCCAGTGTCTCCATCTGGAAAAGAAAGGAGCTGGATTTGATGACCAATTTTGCTTTCACTTTTGTAAATCTATCATTTAACCAGAGATTTCATCCTACTGTGGCAAACTGGCCCCATCCTCTCAAACCCGGGATCTTTGTGATTTCTAATACAGAAATTTTCTTACATATTATTATTTGTGTCATCAGCTAAGTGGAGCAGATTCCCTACAGATTTATATTAACAATAGCCAGATTATTTCTTTGTTGCTTTGTTAAAATTAACAAGGATGAAATAAATAAGGAAAAAAAATCTATTAGTGAGCTCCATAATTTATCCACCAAGATATTTTGATTTGAATAATGCATTTAAGTACCTAAAACACAATCATACCCAGGGTAACAGGTTATATATAAGGTAATAGTTGAGAAGAAAATCAGGAAATACAAATTTGTTACTGCAAGCAATTTTAATACAAAAGTGTGTCTTGTTTTTAAACAGTTCATTGGTAGAGCTTCAGTTTCTGCCTCAATTAAAACCAATTGAGATAATCACACAGCAACATGGTCGGAGCTGAAGAGGAACAGCAGCTAAAAAACAGGAGCCCCAGACAGCCCCTCTTCATGGTCACTTGGTCAGCTGACTTTATTACTCACAAAAAAAGACGGAAGCAAACGGGACTTGTTAACAGGTGTGCTGGTGAACTCCTTTAAAGGACGAGCAAGTGTTTGTTTTATGTCCACATTTTCAGAATAGGCTCGTGGAATTCATTCCTCAGTTTGTGGGAAGTTGATCGACCATTTAAATAAATAGCAAAAATGCAGATAAACAAATCTGTAATTCACAGTGTCACCAAGGAGTCTCCCCTTGCCAAGGGCCTGGGTCCCGGTGAGCACAGGAGTTATTGGTGGCTGGGCTGGATAGGAAGTTACAAACCAGGACTCTTAAAAACCCCAATGTTCTGACGTCTTCTGAACGTATTTACCCCTGAATTCTAGCAGCTATTTGTCCTTTAAACACCCAGTACTGAGACAGTATTCAAAGTATTGCAATGAACTCCTTTTGCTGATCATGTGCAAACATTACCAGAGGAGGTTCCCTCTCTTCAGCTAAAATCACACAGTATTAAAAACACCGGAAAAAGCGATTAGAAGTGCCCTCCCCTCAGTTCTTGCTAATTGAGGTGTCTGTGATTTACAAAAAAAAGAGTTCCTTAAACACTGCAGGATTCTTATTTTTTTAATATAATTTATCTTGCTGGGACAGCAAGTCGAGTTTATAAAGAAGATGCATTTAGGAATAATCCTAAAAGATAAAGCAGGTTTACAACCCTGCACCGCGCAGAAACCCTATTTAGAGGCGCCTTTTTTTTTTTTTTTTTTTAATACACATTCTCATCTTGACCTTCTCACTTGTTTTTCTCAAATATTTCATTTCTGGGCCCCATCCATTACAGGGTTACCAGGAGGCAAATTTTATCTACATAAATATTCACATGAAAATAGTAACTTACAAAAAGAAAAAAAATAAGGCAGCTTCATAACACAATTATTCTTTTACACTTTTAACAATATAACTTCTCCTGTTCAGAATAAATATACACCCAATGTACGGAGCAGGCTTCAAAGTGGAGAGAGGCTTGGGGTGCTTGTGCAGCGTTACCGCTTGGGACCTGGAGTCCTGGGGGAGGCAGTGGTGGTCTTCTTGGACATGGTGGGGATTTTGGAAGGCTTGCTGAGCCCTCTCCTGGAGCTGCCCTGGCCCCCCGCAGCGCTGCTCTCCGAAGTGTCTGAACAAGCGGACTGTGTCTCTAAAAGGTCAAAGTCCGAGGCATCGCTCCCGCGCCGGCTACTGGCCCGACTCCCGGCCCGGCTCCCGGCCCGACTCCCAGGGCGACTGGCTGACTTTTTAGGGTCTGGAATTGGAGAATAAAGCAGCAGACTTACTGAGAGACAACATGAGGGGCGGCGAGAACAAGTGACCAGAGGTCAGGGCTCTGACTCTAATACCACCTGATAGTCTGTGTGACCCTGGGGCGAATCAGAGCCTTTCTGGACCCTCTATGTCCTCATCTACATGGCAGTTGCCTGAAACCTTTTCTGGCTTTGTGATTCTGCTTGAGAAGCTTGCCTCCTGAGGATCAGAAGCCAGCTTCTCTCAGCAGCACAAGTGACCTCGTGTGGCCCCCGGGGGGGTGGGGGTCGGGGATGGGCCAAAAGAGGGCCAGAAATGAGGCCAATTCCTAGGTTCCCATGAGGAACATCAACAGGTGAACAGATGTGATCTTTCCCTGACTTTCTCAACTTGCCAGCAGTTATCATAAACACAGAGTGTTGGAAAAATTACTAGCAAACTGCCAGTCCCAAAACTGAGCGGCCTTCTCAGGAAGGCCCCCTTCAGGACGCCCCTCCTGCCTTCTACATTCTCTCAAATATGGTCATTCCAGATCCAGAACAGGGCGCCCGGCCTTAGCCACGGAAGCCTCTGCTCTCAGAAGGCAGGGCTATGGCTAGCTTCAGTGGCAGAAGGGAAAGGAAAGAGCCACACGGAATCTGCGGGGCTCTCTGGACATCACACCTAGTGCTGCTCTCATTACTTGCTCCTTGGAGAGCAGGGAGGCATTGCCCAGAGGCTGCTGGTCCCCAATTCTTAGCCTGGCCACTCCCCCCTCCTTTCACCCCAAAGCCTATGGACGGGTGGTGGTGGTGGGGCAGGTACTTACCTGCCCGATTCGTTTTGGCACCTGTGGAGGCTGGGGAAGAGCTATTGCTAGTATCACCAGCAAGGGATGTTCGACTAGAGTGAAAAGTTGGTGTTGGTCGTTTCAACTTGCTGCCTGTTGATGGAATAACCTTAAAAAAGATTTAAAAGACCGTATTTACTAGGTAGAATTTCTGAAATTCAATTTTAAAAGGTCTACTTAAGCCTCCTCACATCTAATCGATTGGAAAGCAAATTAAAAGTCCAGGAAAACAAAGATTTATTTTGAAAGTGTCCTAGGTCATATATTTTAATAATTCCACCCCACAAAAGGTCTCATTTAGGTTCTCAAAAGGTTCCAATTTAAAATGTCACAATGTTTTTTAAACTTCTACTTGAAATTTACTGACAAATTTTATGTTACTGACAAATTTCCACTAAAAAATGGCCAAAAAAAAAAAAAAATCCAAATAATCCCAAATGTCAAAGTGTTTGGGTTAAAAATTTGAAAGATGGGTTCTAGCCCTAAATATTTAGTATGGAGATGCAAAGATCACCCCAAACACTCTCACTAGATATGTGCGTGCAGAAACTTTAGTCAAGCCAAGATCTATTTCTTCGCTGGAAAAAAAATGCAGATAACCACACTCCCCTCTTGTTCAATCCACTGGGCCACCCCGTATTTGCGTGGCTCACTCCCTCATTTCCTTCGGGTGTCGTGGCTGGAACGGCCGATCAGAGAGGTCTTGCCGCACTACTGAAGTGATACCCACCTTGCTCTTCTCCCCTGTTCAGGATTTGGAGCTCCTACCCTTGTTTGCAGCCTTACCTGCATTCAAGTCTAAGCTCCGCAAAAACAGGGACTTTGTTTTGTTCACGGTCACCTAAACAGTGTCTGGCACAGAGCACGGGCTCAATAAAAACTTGCTGAATGAATAAATCATGTGTGGAAGCACTTCCTAGTGGAAAAAGAGCTGCTGGATAGATATACATTATTACTGCTACCGGGAGGAGCAACATTTCCCACTTGAGTGGTTTTTTTTTTTGCCTTTTTTTAAAAAGATAGTAGACTTAATTTGGAGAAGGAACATTTTAAGTCTATTTTAAATACCACTCATGCCACAACACACTGTTCTAATTTTTCTTTGAAATCAATTGTGTAAACTGTTTTCCAGGACCTTTAAGATGTTCATATAAATGGAAAAAGTAAAGCAACCTGTTTCATTGTGTTTCTTGTATTTCTTTAATTTAGAAAGAAAAAGCAGAAGCGGCAGAAAGTGATTAACATTCACGCACAAACCCTCCTGGCCCACACAGGAGGAAGAGCACCAGTTTCAGAAGCTATCGCTCGTGCGCACGGCCATGGCCGCCAGGAAGACCGCAGCCCTGGAGCCCCTGGGCTGGGAGTCCACGCCAGGACGCGGCCTGTACAATACCCACAGGTAAGGAAAGGTGAAACCTCGAAATGAACAAAACAAAAGGTACAACCTTAAGACAAAACAAAAAGTCTGGTCTATTCAAATCCTGTGAGTATTTTGTACTTTATAATTAAAACATTGAAAATTTTAGAACTTCTGAGACTTTCATGAAACTGGAGCCATCAAGGACGAAGAAAAGCAAGATAAGCATGTTGAGTGTTGGGGTTCTGGTGGCAATAGGTCCCCAGGTCATGTTCTGAACCGGACAGATTTCTGAACTAGAGGTTTAGCTTGGAGCGGATGACTCCCAAAGCAGCAGCCCATTCACAGGCACCGGCTTCTTAACATTTCCCACTTTCTCGGGCTGAAGCTTTGCATGACTGAAGGCAGTGCTCTCTCTTGAGGCCCAAGAATCGAGTATTTCCCAGCGGGAGCTAGAATGCAAATCTTCCTGCTATCAGACAAGCCACTGGCCCGTGATTGGTTTCTGAAACACTGCTCTTCCAAAAATGCTTTGGGCATTTTAATGACTGCACTCAAACATGCTTAACTGCCAGTGTGTGTGTATCAGATCAAGGCTTCGGACACCCAAGTGACGAGGCCAAGAGATTCAGAAGTTCAAAACTGAGCTTCAGAGCAGTGTCCACTGATAGTGGGCTTGGCTGAAGTAGGCATAGGCAGCACCCACACCTCAGACCAGTCTGGTGATACCAACCACCAGGGGGATGTGGCTCAGGGCAGGGGACGCCAGCCACTCTTCTGTTCTAAGCAAAGACAGGACACGGCTGAACATGCACCACAGTTGAATTTCAAGTGTTCGTAACTCGTCTGGGTAGCTCATGTTTGGAGATTCCAAGAGGCCCGAGTTTTATAAATAATATCCATAAACAGATCACCAGGAATGATGACTGTTTATCACCCTGGGAAAAAACATCATTCTCAAGACTGTTAGCAAGCTGTTCAACGATCCGGTTTTAGGCATCTCTTATTTATCTCCAAGTTTGGTGAGTCCGAGTTAGAAACCCCTGAAAAACACCTGACTAGACAAATCAGCTGTGAGAGCAAGCACCACAGAGATGGAAAAGAGCATGGACTTGTGTCAGGAAGAGTAGCCGATCAAGGTCTGGGCATTAGCGAGGGCCTCATCTTGACTGTGTCCTTAGTCAGCAAAACCATACTCTACCTCGGGGCTGGGCAGCTGGAGGTCAGGATAATGGCTGTCCCTGCCAGAGGGGCCAGCTTTACTGTTTACCAACCAGGGTTTGTCATAACAGCGAGAGGACTGAAGTGGAGTCTGCGAAATGGAAATCCAAAGGGAAGGACGGGGACAATTGAAAATGGAACAGTAAGGAAGCAAACTGGGAACATGAAAAATAAATAGAAAACCCTGAATCTTAAAGAAACAGAAAACAAAACAAAACGGGCATCAGTTCAACAGGATAAAAGGGACCAGGCAGAGAGGCAACGGCATTCTTCACAAGCAACCCATCAAAACAGACAGACTTCTCCGTTAGCATCTAATGCCTGGATTTCCAAAATTAGCAACTCTGGGTGGAAAGTGTTTCTGACTTAACGATCTGAGTTCATATTTTACTAAACGTCCTTCAGAGTAAAATCCTAAGGGTCCTGTTATCTACTGGGGCCTGGAAAGGCTGGTGTAGGTAGAGCTTGGTCTGTAGGTCCTCTCACTCCTCTCCTGGCTGGAGGCGCGCAGAGGCTACACTCAACAACAATCCCCTGTAAATCGGGACCAAGGAAGGAGGCCGCGAGCCAGGGCATCCCTACCTTGGGGCCACTGGCAGGGGTGGCGGGAGAAGACGGCATGGACGTGCAGCTGTGGTTGCTCTGACTGGCGCTGGAGCTGGAGCGGGTCGGCGAAGCAGCCCGGGAAGACGGCTTGGACCTTCGACCCCGTGACCGGAAAGGTGTCATTCCCTGGGATGCCCCCTCGGGTAGGATGAATTTCTCTCTAAGTTCGATGTTAGTTCTACCTCGTGCTAAAAAAAGGAATAAACGCACACATACAATGTCACTGAATCTTACAAAATGTATCTTTGATGGTCACACAGCTGCTTGACCCCATGACCACAGTTACATAGGCTACAGGTTTAGTACCCTCTGTGGACTCTTTTGAAGTAGAGATAAATTCATGATCTGTCAGTCTGTCGTGACTCTTACCCAGAGCAGACAGTTAACTAGTAAGCCCCTTGGTTTGAACTTTATATATAAAATACCATGCCATTCTGTGGTAATGATCTTGCCCTGCCGCTGTCCCCTGGGGCAAGCACACCATACGTAACTCGTCAAAGAAAGCAGATGCAGCAGTGCACAAACCTCTGACATTAAAATCAAAACCCCTCTTTTCTCTCTCATAGTACATGTGTACTTTTTGCTCAGATTTTGCAGGATACATGGTAACTAAATAGTGGAGAAAAGAAATCATTGAAATCAACATTGTCCAGACACTTGTATTTGAATTCAGTTGATAGTAATCCTAAGGGAAGGGGTCCAGGAACTCAGGACAGTAAAAAGATCAGGATAAAATCATTAAGAAGTAAACATGTGGGAGGAGAGAGAGAAAGATCAAAACCATGCACAAAACTTGCTGGTGAGAAATGTTAAGTCAAAAACTGAAAGCAACAAGAAGCTGAAGGGACGACGGCAAGTGGGAGGAATGTCACGGTGGAAACAATCTGGAAACTGCTCTGAAGGCCAACAGGTGTTGTCCTAATGGCTTTCTGCAGCTCTAAGACCAGAACTTAAAATTTGGATTTGGTCAGAAGATTCCAAGGATGGCCAACATAAATGTTAAATGTGAAAGACACTACTAATTTAAAAGAAATAATTCCTCTGGAATATGTCCTTAAATTATTTCTCACCAAAAGGTGTTACTGTCATCCATCCTGCACTGTTTACTTTTTAGACTACACTAGGTAGATCTGAACAAACACGACCACTGGTGAAACTCAGAAAAACGGAATCAATCATTTGTCGTTCTTTTCTAAGTAAGATTTTTCACTCCGGCCAAGAACCACGACTCTAGCAGATCTGAGGTACCTATGCCCACCCCCTCTTCTGCCCAACCCTGCATGTCCTCAAGGGAACCGAGTGATCTTGGTAGAGTCAGATTTTAAATAAAGTTGCATGGGTGTCCAAGCAGGGTAGTTCCAAATTCCTAAATAAAATTCTTCTCAATATACTATGCTGACATAACATATCCAAGTGTCCAGTTAAAAGGGCTGACGTGGATATCACAACCTGAGTGACAGTCTAGGCTCAGCGACCAACCAGGTCTTCCTGCTCCAGGCCTCAGTTTCCTTAGGCTGATCCCAATGTCTGGGTGGTCTGAATGCTAAGCTGTTTCCTTCCTCCTCAGGCCCCAACAGAATGTGCCCCTCACAGCTCATTCCCTGGTCCTGGGTTCTCTACTCATCCATTTTCTGGACGTCAGTGCTTTCGTCTGTGTCTACACTAATGATTCTCCAAGAGAACTTCCTTCAGCACTAACATAGACACTTCAGTAAGACTTTCCATCACTAGTAACTATGGATTCAGGACTTACACTTATTTATATTGTGTTTGCTAATGTGCCCAGCCTAACGGTGGGCACACAGCAAAAGCACTAAGTTAACAGTGATGAATGAAAATCATGACTCAGCTGAGGGTTCACCCCAAAAGAGCTGCTTGTGACCCTGAGCCATACCGAACTTCAGATATGCAGTTTAAACCTAGTAAACATTTAATAGTTTACCTCTGTGCTAACCCTCCCAGACAAGAACACCACAGTGATACAAGAGGAAGACTCTGAAATGGCATCTCAGATGAGGGCCATGGCATTTAACATGTCACGATATAACAACATCACGCTCTCCATATGCACTGCACCGTTTGCAGAGTGTGACACATGCAGTAGGGCACTAGACTGTCACCAGTGACTGGTCAGCATCCCTGTCACAGACAAAGGACCTAAAGCACTCAGAGAGGCTGAAGTCAAGGAGAGCCGTGGTAGGGCTGGGACTAGAACCGACGTCTCCCACCTGAGCTCTCTTCCCACCCCCTGGCTCCTCATACCCTCACCTACACTAGTGGCTCTCCACCCGCCCCAGGCTCCCATCCCCACCACGCCACCCCAATCACCCTGGCAAATTATTACTGATAACTTTAAACTGTACAAAAGTTGAAATACATGGAAAAGTACAGAGACTGAAAATTCCTTAATCTGACAACCTAAGGGCCATCACTATTAAAATGTTCGTGTCTTTATTCCTGTGCACAACTGTGTATATATATTCTTAAATACAAGAACATCAGGAACATTCCTCCATGCTTGACAGATCTTGCATAATTTCAACTATCTGCAAAGTGTTATTTCATCATATAGACGTCAATTTTTTTTTTAAAGATTTTATTTGACAGAGAGAGCGAGAGAGCACAAGCAGGGGGAACAGTAGAGGGAGAGGGAGAAGCAGGCTCCCCGCCAAGCAGGGAACCCGATGTGGGACTTGATACCAGGACCTGAGATCATGACCTGAGCCGAAGGCAGACGCTTAACCATCTGAGCCACCCAGGCGCCCCTAGACGTCAATTTATTTAACTCTGTGTTGTATTTTTAATTTCCTTACAATTTTTAAAACACTGCATACAATGTCACAAGTGGTGACAAACTACTTGTAAAATGTTTTTGTGCATATCAGTGATGATTTCCTTAAGATAAATTTCTACAAGTGGATTTTCTGAGGAGAACGGATGCACATGAGATTTCTGATATTTGTCAGTTGATCCCCCAAATTTTATACAAATGTACACTCTCCAAAATAATGTATGAGTATACTGAATTTACTTCACCCTGGCTAATGCTCTATTATTAAGAATGTGTGTGTACACATTTATGTGTACAGGTAAAACTCTTCTGATAATCTGACATCTCTCTGCTGTTGTAATTTGCACGCAGGGGGATTACTAACTGCTCTCTTCTTGAAAAAATCTCTTCCCTTGGCTCCAGGACACCTGCTCTCCTTCTTCTCCTCCTTCCCCCCTATCCTTAGACACTGATGTTCCCTTGGTTCTGTTCACAGTCCTGTTCTCCCTCTTAGATTTTGAACCTGGTGGTGACGAGTTCACCCATCTGACTTCATTACCATCATATGGTCATGCCTGACTCCAACTGTATCCCCTGCTCAGACCCCTGCCTGGATGTCAGACCTTATATCCAATGACTGAATAGACATGATCACAGCCAGAGACTGGGGAGTCAACATAGGTCCCTTCCTCCTGATGGCAGTTTGTTCTACTGATTGTATCTTCTAAAGCTTCTCAAATACCCAGAGCATTCCCACACCCCCCCGCACCCCCTTACCCTTATGTGATTCATGGAGCATCTCCTCCACCCTGGATGGCTGTAACAGGCTTCCAACTGGTCTCATTTCTCATCTCATCCCCCAAAATGGAATTTCTAAATAAAAACCTGGTAATTCTGAATGACTCAAAATCCTTCCCTGGTCTTCCACTGTTTACAGCAGAGTTTCCCAATCTAAGGTTTTTGAGGGGGTTCCTACAAAAAGAGTTCAATAAATACTACCCACCCCCCCGCCGCCCCGCCTTGGGAGATCTCGAATGCAATCAACATTTTGTAAGCTCTGGGAAGTCCTACAGTAAAGAAATTTTCTTAGCTTTAACCCAGTGTCTTCCAAAAGCACCTGACCATGATTTTTTGAAGATCACGCCTTGGAGGCCAGGCCCTGAAGGCAACCATTTCAGTTTTTCAACACCAAAGAGGCCACCATTTTCTAAGGAACTCAGGCTGGCCACGTGATGTTGTTTAGTTACAACTGAGTTCTAAGCTGTATTTAATGGGTACAGAGTTTCAGTTTTCTAAGACAAAAAGAGCTCCATGGATGTGTGATGGTAGCACAACCACTGAAGAGAACACTTCAAAATGGTTAAGATGGTAAATTTTATGTTATGTGTATTTTACCACAATAAAAAAAAAGAAAGAAAAACAATCAGTTCTCAGTCAAATTGTCTTTCAAATCTTCATAAATGAAGTTTTCTAGATCTTCACTTATTTGGGGGAACTAAATCATCTAATGCTCAAAAACACACCTTAGATAAAGGTGGACCTATTCCTTAGGCATTGTTTTCATCACCATCCAAACCATCATGATCTCCTTTGCCATGGATGAATTCAGAAACTGAAACCTCTAATTTTTGGCAGCGTCATGAACCTACCTAGTTGAGTATTTTCACTTAACACATATGGCTAGAGCACTGTGCAGTCTGATCTATCTCTTGCCTTCTGAAACAGCTGTGTGGAAGGAGGCAACAAATGATCATACATGTTGGTACAATACTGTCATCAACTGTGTTCTAGCTTCGGTCTAACATTCTCTGTGGTCCAGACAGCCAAGGAAATGCAACACAAACGAATACAGAATCTCCCCTAAGCAGTGCTTCTAGAAGCCACATGAATCCTCACAGAATCCTAGACAGCTTCAGGGAACCCTTCTTTTTGTGATGTCCACACTCTCCCCAGTCACTTCGTACATCCACCCCAGCCCTTAAGTGTTCACTGCCTCGGGCAACTTTGTATTTTATTAGAAGTACTCATCCTGCCACTAGGAGACTTATGACATCTAAGACTGCTGGGCAGTTCCGGATTCTGCCATCAGGGGAATCGAGGATTCCTGGGTGCTAGGAGGGCACTCCTGGAGAGGCACAGAGGAAAGCTTACCTTGTTTGCTCCCAGGGATGCTGAAAAGGCTACTATGTTCCATAGAGAATAGGTACTAGACGGCCCTCCCAAACTTCCTGGGGGGGGGGGATCTCCAGTGTTTAGCTAGTAACATAAGGACAAAGCAAGCAGGGTAGCCCTTGGCCATCAGCACAAAGTTACTGTCAACGGAGCAAGTACAGCAGGCAGCAAAAAGGAATCCGGATTCCAAATGTCACATGCAGCATCTCTTCTGTTTGTCTGCTTAGTCCAGTTATACAGGACAGAGAAAATGAAACCTTACTAACAGATTTGCAAAAGAATAATGTCGTTTTACTGAGTTATGGTTAAAATCATATATATGGCTCCTGTTCCTGATCTTTTATTTCAAGGGAATTAGTTTGCAATATAGTAACTTCTAAAACTGATTAAACCCTTTGAAGTTTTTATCCGAACAGATGCTTTCAAAATTCACTGTATTTTTTACACACACACACACACACACACACACACACGAAAATTACTTTTGTTTACTGGAGTAAATGCAGAATAACATTTAAAATAACAGAAGCTATGGCATATCTGAATTCATGTGAGAACTGCACCCTTTAGCTCTAAACACTTCAAAATAAGACTATAAATCACATCCAAAGAAGTTATGTAACTGTACTGTAAACATGTTTGCCAGGTTTATAAATATGCCTTACCAAGTAAATTACGCAGGCTGAACCAGCAATCCACACATAAAAAGGGGTGGTGGTGGGTATGTCAGCCTCTGAGACACAAGGCACCTCGATCAAGAGCACAGACTTGAGAGGCACACTAGTCTTGGATTGGAATCCTGTCTCTGCCATTTATTAGTTGTCTGTCCTTAGGTAAGCTGTTTAACTTTTCTGTACCTGAATTTCCTATTCTGTAAAATGGCGGCAATAACAGAATCTATACCTCACAGAAGTGTAAATGTGTTATTATTTCTAAATTGCTTGTAACAGCATGTGGCACCTAAAAAACTATGTAAGTATTGGTTAAATACATAGAAACTCTAACAAATTCCACGGGTACTGTTTCAACAGAGGTGTTCTATGCCCTGTCAACTTCTAATAGTTAGAAAAGCTACAGCTTGGCTATTTCAAAGCATTCGTGAAGGCAGCAGATACCACAGAGCCAGGAGGTGCTACAGTTGAAGCAAAGCCATTCTCAACGGGCTGGGGTGTAGGTAAGGGGGACAAAGCTTAAAAGCCAACCTATGGGAGACTGACTGGAAATCGAAGAGCTGGAATCAGAGCGCTTTATTTTACTCCCAGGATGGTGAACTAGAATAAAAAATAAATAAATAAAGAAACACAAAGAAACAGAGACAGCAGGAAAGGCAAAAACCGGTCAAGAAAGACAAACTGGCAGACAGTGGGGGGGCCTCCTGTGTACCCACATGTAGCTCGGCTAACAGGAAAAAGGAAAGGATGCAGTTGAGGAGGATTTCGGCACCAGAACTTGCTCACCTGGCCTTGCGGCAGCCCTCACACCTGCAGCTCCAGGCGCCAGCATTCATACTCCAGTCCCCTCTTCTTCTGCCGTGGGCCTGGCATGCCCGCCCTTCGGGTTTCATAACCCTTGATCTTGCTTCGGTGATCAACTCTCTTGTAAGTGCCTGGGCTCACTGCTAGGTGTTCTTTATCCCCTCTCCCGGCCGAGGGAGATGCCCCAGTCCTTCCCTGAACGGGAGGGACCCAACACCCTCCCTGGGTTTCCGGCAAAGGAGTTACAGGCAGAGGGATCTGGAGCACTAACCAGGAACCTCAAAGGCTTCATTAGGCTCCTTTCTAGGCTACTGCTAACTGAACACCTTTCAAACTGAAACATCTGAAGACACCAATAAATTCCTAATTCTTGTGACTGTGTCCCTTGAAACCTGTCTCCCCTGATGGCATCAACCTTTCTTGCTTTCTCTTCCTGGTCTACTCGGGTACCCCCAAGTTCTAATCTGTGCTGGTAGAGCGATATCTGGGCGGCTTAACAAAATAAAAACCAAACAGACCCACTACTGACACTTTGTGTAAGCAGGAAAGATCAGTGAAGAGGGCATACCTTATGTGTAATTCATGCTCAGAAGGTTCCTTACCTCGGCAGGGGTCATTTTTCACCAAAAATTCATCCAGGGCCATCCATCCTCCACCAACTCGGACCATCACGGTGCTGCGCAGGATGCGGACCAGCCGCAGCTGCTGGGAGTCCCCGAACTGCAGGACCAAGGGGAGAGTGATGAGTGAGTGTGCCTTAGAGCAGGCCGAGGCCTTCTTCCCAGAGCAGACTGTATTCAGACGAGACAAATGATAATTTGACAGTTTGGGGAGAATTTTAACTATTTGGCATTTTTCACAAAAGAATTTAGAGTATCGAAAAGCTGAGCTATCAAGGTAAAACTGCTGTCGATATTCTTTCTATTGGGACAAAGTTAACTTTTGGTGGTCACACCCCCTCCCCCTGCACCAAAAGGGGGAGGGCAGAGGACAGACAAATGTTAGCTCACCTCAATTCTTTTAAACATTCTGCCCAAATTAAAACCCAGAAGTAAAACTGTTATGTCAGTTTGCTTTCACAAAAGGTAGATATAAAGTGGATGTCAACTTCTGAATACAGTGTGCTCAAAAGGTAAATGGAGAACAGCAAATACTATGTCAAGCCTTAAGGAAACCCTTGCAAGCATCAATATTATTACAAGCTTAGAAGGAAATTTGATTTTCCACACAAGGTTTTCAGAAATAAGCCCTCGGTGTTCTCTAATTGTGATGCCACCAAGCAGAAAGTTTCTCCAGCTGAGCAAATGACTATGGCATTTATACTAAAATTTAGTAGAAAAAATTAAAAGTGTAATCTACCATGCTGATTATAAATAGTATTCAAGAATCATTTTGGGATATTAAAACAAGCATGACTTTCTGATATTTATTCTTTCTTTTTTCTTTAACATCCCTGCTTCTCAGCTCTGTTAACATCTGTAGTTTCCCATTGCATAAATTACCCTCTTCCTAAAATAAGGTAAGAGGCAACAAAAGGGAATCATTGCGGAGATCCCAAAACAAAAATCAAACATTTGTTGGAGAAATAGCATTCCTAAAATTATTTAATTCAAGGAGAATGTTGGGGTAGGGGGTGGAGTGAAGGGACTAATTAGTTAATTACGATTTCTCAACTTACAAAGGAGAACCATAACTTTGAAACAAGGCACGAAAACTGAAAATGCCAGAAAAGATGTTTGACAAGGACACATAACCCACCTCCCTCAAAACTCATGTATTTGTGGTAATTCTCTGTATTCCTCTGTACTGGGTCAAGTGTGCTGTTTATAGAGGCAGCAAGGTGACTGGAAAAAACACCACCCCCTCCCCAGTCCTTCACTTTGAAAATGAAAAGAGTCTTAACATCTCTCATCTCCCGCAGCTATTAGGATTTTATACAGAGTGACCACAGCAACAGCATGGTGTAGTATGACAAGCACTGAAGTGGGTGCCCAGAGATGTGAGGGAATAAACGTCCTGTCCCGGGAAGGAAGCTGCCCCTTTGGCCCCTGAGGGTACCTCCCTCAGAAGCTGGCCCAATAGAGAAAATAGGAAGGCCCTGTGGGAGAGGTTGAGAATTCTGCCATGCCCAAGAGCAGGGACCGCCCGAGTCACTCAAGTCACTCGGGGTTCTCTGTGGATCGGTGAAGAGAGGGAGGAAATCAGGGCCGCTATGTCCTCCACAGTGAATCAGGAAGGGACTCCAAGAAGTACTTTACCCTAATGTCACTGTGTCCTGTAGTTTATGTGTCTGTCAGCTCTTAGAATTACTCCACTTAACTCATTCCTTTTTTCTCCTTAACTTCTTACTAAAGCCCCCTCTGGAAGGTTCTAACTCGTTTCTGCTGAGCTGTAGGGAAAAGGAGGCTTGATCCAAGCCAGCAGCTGAAGCAGCTGGGGGTGTCGAGGCCAGAGTGAGAGCAGGAGAAGGGGCTACCGCAGCCCTAAAACTGGGGACCCGTGCGAACCTGGCAGAACTGGGCTGTCAGTGAGAATGTCTCAGGGTAATTTCGGTTTCCTTAACTGGAAAATCCCTCACAGTGACCCGGGTTCCCGCAGCGGCTCTGACACCAGCTGTGTGACTGTCAGCATGGGTGTCTTCAGGTCTCAGGTGCCTCGGGCACAAAACGAGCCCCGTGACTCTGTTCCAACACTGGAACTAACTCGTCCGACCCTCTGCCAGTCAGCAGAGCATCGGACAGGACATCAGTGCCACTTCAGAGGACGCCTGGGCCCCACATGCAGGTATTAGGAAACAGGCACAGCTTTGAGGCATGCCTCGGCACTGTGCTGCAATATTTTAAACCCTCTTTGTCCTGGTCTTTCGTTTCTATCCTCTGTTCTTCCCACTGGCCCAGAATGTTACTGTAGTGAATGATTATGGCAGTGCCTGGGACTTAACACTGATTGAGGGCCTCAAATCAACTGTTAGTGTTTCTGATTTCACATCACAAGACAGACTTTACCCATGCAACTTCCTTCCATTTGAAGACACAGGACCCCAGAGCCCTCAAAAAGATCTATAAGGTTAGAATTACCAAGTGGAGTCAAAAGCATTCAATCTTTTCTTGCAAGTCTAATTTGATCCCTTAGATTCTGGCTAGCTGGACATAATCAGCAAATTTCAGGCTATGACCAAATCATGATTGTTATACTGCGGTTCTCAGGCAACTTATAATTATAGAATACTATAAATAAATACTATAAATATAAGTAAATAAGGTATCTGAACAGACTGAGTACTTAAGTACCCGAAGACTTTTTGATTTCGTGTACGCTATGAAATTTGTGTTATCTGTCAAAAGACAGAACTGTGCTGTCTGCTATTCTGATTTCCTATTCTAAAAGGAAGTGGGATGGATTGATACTGTAGCTTCAAACTCCCCTGAACCAGCCCAGCATAATACGGTCTTTAGCCAATCTAATTTTGGATGGAAAATTTCATCTCCTTAAAAAACAAAACAAAACATAACTCGCTGCTGCTGCTGCTAAGACAGCTTTATAATATTAGCCTTGTTAGCAGTTTCTCCACTTGGTAATACAACCAGATGTGACCCAGGCATGCTTCAGATCATGTCCTCTCCCCACAGCAAAGAACAGGCAGCATGGGCTACACAGACCATTTCCACCGAGGAGGACGTTGCAAGGCACACTGTACCTGATTGCCGAGGAAGAACTACAGACAAAAGAGTAAAGGATGGAGGAAATGGAAGGAAAAAAAGAACATTTTGTCAAATTAACACTAAGGAATGAAAATCACGCAATCACGTTACCAGTCTTCAAGCATATTCTCCGAGAGCTCCTGCCACGGGGGCATGGTTTTACAAATTATAGTAAGACCTAACTTTTCCACTCTACTAATTGCTCTTGTTAATGCATTTCTCTCACAATTAAAAAACAAAAAACAAGAAAATAAAAAGCAACAAAAACAAGCACAAGATTGCTTATGGTTTTATTTACTAAATGCCCTGGGCTGGATCCAAAGCAGAGTCACCCAACACTCCCCAGTTAAGAGCAGCCCGGGGCGATTTTGGTGTACTTTGAAGACATTTTGATGTACTAATGGAACCTAGATTTTCCTGTTTCTAACTCATGCAAATAACTGCAAAATCTGAACCCTCTTTACCAATCCTAGGTTCTCTTTAGGACTTTAGAGAATCTAGCTAAGCTGCTAAATGTATTTTAGAAGTGCTGTTTCAGATCCCTTCTATCCCCTAACCCTGGTCCTAAAAGCAGCTAAAACACAGCATAATTCATGGTCAAATTATGTCCACGGCACAGCTTTCCAGGGAAGACTACTGAGCCTGGTGTCCCCTTAGTGCATCTAGGCTCTATTTGTAACCCAGCTCAGAGCAGACAGAGTATCCCTTGGGACCCTGACAGAGTTCCTCCAGACCTCTCTGAGCCTGGGAGCCACTCAGGCTCACAATGACCAGCACTTCGGGGTGATGGGTTAGTCTTCAGATAACCAGCACAGCTGGCACCATCTCCCTAAAGACTTCGGTCGGCCAAAAAGAGGACTTTGAAATGTCTCCTACACTGGAACTCAAGTACAAGCTACTGTTAGCTAAATACAGCACTATTTTTCAGGTGGAATTATGTAGGGCACTAAGCTTAGCCCAACAGGACACCTGACATTTGGAATCTACAGACATGAGGGCCAGAGAGAGACTGGCATCTTCAGTCCCCCTGGCTCTGGTCCTCCCAGCATGAGCAGCGGGAAGGTGGGATCATCTGGTCTGCTGTGTGTGAGGCTGCTTTCACCTCTAGGGGCCACATGGGAGGAACCACCACCACAAAGGATTGCTTTTCTCTTCCTTACCCGATATTTATTCTCTCCAATCTGCTCCACCTGAAACCTTTTTGCACATTTGCACTGAGCCACTTGTCTTGTGACCTATTGGTTGTAAACAACAAAAAAAGAAAAGCGTGAAGGTTAAAACAAGACTTCCTCTTCAGAGAAACAAATATTTTTACATGCAAGCAGAACACTATTCATTATGTCTCTTTGAGGTATTTTAGGCTTTTGATACATGCATTTATCCTTTACTCCAAATTAATACATGTTACACATTTGCTTCCAAGTTCCTTCAGAGAAATGTGCTAATATGCATCAAAATCATATCAAATAAAGTGAATTAGAACTGACCTGAATTTCCACTGAGGAGCCTCTGAGTCCCAGAAGTCAGTCCTGGTGTATTCTGGGCCATACCCACAACCTGCCCCACTAATCTCTCCCTTTTCAGGATCAACAGATCCTAGGATTTCCGTGTGTTACTAATGAATTTGCTATTTTCAAGGTGATGGGTGCGATTTCCAATGTGAAAAAGTCCTTAACTAGGCAGAAAGCTTGGTGGGTATACACATCATCTTAAACATTACTTCACATTTTACTCCTTAAATGCTTCCTTTGAAGACCGGTCCCCCTGGATCCTGATGTGGGATGCCCAGGACTGAGAGAGCAGTCTGTTCTAAGCAACATGGTACCTATGAACCAGGATGTGTGTGTAAGTTTGTGAACTTTGGAGGAATGACAGAGATGTGACTCTTTTGAGTGAGAAATCATCTAGACTGAAAGAGAGAGCTCAACAGCCAGAGATCCTCTGGGGCATCATCCTCCAAATGGGGATCCCCAAACAGAACTCCAGATAATGATCTTATAACTTATAAGTCACGAGGCTGACACGGCCACTGCGCCCAACCACTGTGGTCAAAAGTGTGCTCAAAATAACAGTAATTTCCGGTACCTCATCTTCAATTTTATCTGCGTCGGTTGTTGGGCGATAAGCGTCCTTGTTGGGATGGAGAGCAGCCACGAATTCATAGTAATCAATGTAGCCATCTCCATCTCGGTCAAAAATGTCAGCGACGGCAGTCATCTCCAACTTGGTGGTAGGGAACTCTGGAGAAAAGTAATCACATTTGGAACATTAACTCAGAGGGCTTACTTGGGTTGCTGGAGGGCATGTAAATACTGCTTGAAAGAAGAAATATTTATGTTTTGCTTTTTTCCTGAAAAGCAATACATGTTCATTTAGAAGATATTAACGTTATAAAGAACATTTTTTTTAGAAAGGTCACCTAGAGATACAGTACCCAAAGACTACTCACTGTTAAGTTTTTTGGTGTTTTTGCTTATAGACTCCCTCATCCCCCATGCAATTAAAAAAACTAAACAGTATTTCAGATATACCAAAAGACATAATATTACAACTACCCATAGACCTACCATCCCATCCAACATAAGCATTTAGTTATCTACTCTTAACTACTGTTAGATACTTCGATGATTTCAGGAGAGTGACAATTTGGAACAGGATGAAGTTTCTTCTATGTTTAGATAACTGCCTTAGGTTCTCGACAAACTGCTTCCCAAAGGAAGTGTGAATATTTACAGTAGCCAGGGTGATTTATTAAAATGTAAATCAGATCTCTTAGGTGAAAACCTCTGGTGGTCTCCCACTGTCCCACTGCCTCTAGAGTAAGAGGTCAGATCTGCTCCCTTTCCCAGGGCCTACCAGGCCATGCATGAACTGGCTGCTGCTGCTCCTTCCAACTTCATCTCTTACCCCTCCCCTAGATCATGACACCCCACCCACGTTAATCTTTCTATCCCTAGAACATGCCAAGTTCGTGCCCACCTCAGTGCTTTGTATCTGCTGTTCCCTTTGCCTCTAACTCTTCCCTCAAATATCCCCTCTGCAGACAGGCCTGCCCTGGTCAGCTGGGTAAAGTAGCACAGCTGTGAGATGCTTTGTGATCCTGGCAAGTCACTTAACTACTTTTTTTTTTTTTTTTAAGATTTTATTTGCGAGAGAGAACGAGAGACAGAGAGCATGAGAGGGAGGAGGGTCAGAGGGAGAAGCAGACTCCCTGCTGAGCAGGGAGCCCGATGCGGGACTCGATCCCGGGACTCCAGGATCATGACCTGAGCCGAAGGCAGTCGCTTAACCAACTGAGCCACCCAGGTGCCCACTTAACTACTTTATGCCTCAATTATTTTTCCTGCTAAAAATGAGATCATGTATTTTGTAAGCTGTTATACAGATGTCAGAAACTGGTATTACGAAAAACGTATTTTCTCAAACATTTTACTTAGAACCTCATCATTCACAAAGCTGGCTCCTTAACCTATACCTAAAACAGGTTTTACTTGCCACACTGTGTCAAACAAGACCTGTTTTGTTTTAATTCCAAGCAAAATGAGATTCTTCTTTCCATCAAAATGATAGACCAATTTTAGTAATAAGCAGTTACATTACTTAAGACTATAGCTTTAACTTCAAAAAGACTATTTAGCCAGAATATCACCTGCTTCCACCAAGTGCAAGGAATCCAGGTGTGACCCATGTTTGAAACTATGAGTGAACTCACTGGATGCTAGAATGCCATCAATAAACTCCTGCCGTGTTATCTTCCCATCCTGGTCCTTGTCAATTCGCCGGAAGAAATCCATCACCCGAGATTTTTTGTGATTCATCCAACGCATATACTTTTTCCTCCAGACATCAAAGTCAAAGTTGGCAAATTCCTTCAACTAGACAGAAATCGTAGGTGTCAACAAGACTTACTATTTTGATCCTCAAACCTGCCCAGAGCATACCCGGACTTTCAGACATTCAGTAAAGCCATGCAGGCCTTCTGGAGGGGCATCAACAATGACTTCCATGTGTTGCCTCTTTGGTGAAGGCACAATCTGGGTCCTTCACTGAAAGCCATGTACATGAGCTGTGGTATAATGACGCAGTGCGAGAAACAGTAACTGAACGACCACCATGGAAAATACGGAGCACGGAGAACAAGAATGGGTGGAGCCAGCCTTGCTTTCCCTTTGCACTTTTTCAAAGGATCACCTTCTTAGATGTAAGGGAATGGATTCTATCCCAGAAGAGAAGTCCTTCGCACTCCTCACTTACGTGATTTTGATAAGAACTATGATCACACGGAGGCCCATGTCAGAAGGCTCATGTTTCCCATCATTTTCTGAGATGAGATCATTTGAGTTCTGGCTGGAAGCATTAAGAATCCAACCCTGCACGCAAGCATGTTTCTTTGGAATGGCACCAGAGGGGGCAAAATGCCCGTCTGACTTCCATGTGAAATATTTGGCTTTGGCAGACAACAGCAGGCCTGTGCGGCGGGCAAGGCGATGTTGAGCTGCTTGACTATGTCAATGAGACAGACTCAGAATGGCTGAGGCAGCGCAGCAGTTTTCCCCCTGGCCTTTCAAACTCCAAAGTTGGAAGGAATAGAGAAAAAAAGAAAAAGCCAAAACCCAAATATGCTTAAAACTCAACTGACCTACAGAAATAACAACAAAAAACACAGAACACTCACTTCCGGGCATAGCTGCTTTGATACGCACAAATAAAAAAAAATATAAAAGGTATTAGAGGTTTGTTTTAGAAACTAGGAAGTGTAGCACTACATTTTTTAGGTTGGTTAATGACACTTCAAAATAGATTTGCTTTTCGTAATTAGTGAAGACTAGTGGAATAACAAGGTCACACAAGTTACCCTTATTTCATAATCGCGTAGCTTCTATCTTTACACAGAGGGCCCAATAATGGTCGTGACTGTGATGAGCTATGCACTCGGAGGTAACTTTGTGAAGTCATGCTCCTGATTCTTGACCACAGCCAGGTGCTGAGGAGGGTCGGGTCACAGGCCGGACCCCAGATGGACTGACTGGCTGCCTGCCTGCTTTCCCCAGCGAGGTGCTATGGCCCCCACCCTGTTGTGACCCCCGTGTGGCTTTCCGCCCGGGGGCCTGCAGGACAGAGCCCTGGCTCACACTGGTCTGTTTCCACTTCTACAGAAGCTGGTCATAAGAGGGCCTCAGAAGGTAAGAAGTCACCTCCCTCCAGGGAAGGCTGCCTGGCAGGGCCTCACCTCCTCCAGTCGATCCAAGGCGTCATTGAGCTTCCGCTGCCGCTCCAGCGCTAGGAGCCACACCTGCTGCCAGCGGGCGGACAGCTGGTTGACCCGTGGGTTTTTTGCTTCGGACTGTGAGAGGATTGGCATGGGAGGAGGTGTGGGCTGACTCAAGGACTTCCCTAAAAGGAAAAACAACCACGAGATTAGAAAAGCTGGTTTTGTCAGTTCACAAGGAGAAAGTGCCAGATGTGTTAACTCAGGACACCTTTCAAATGGTATCCAATCAGTAAATGTGAGAAGCAGCCTGGGACCTGGCAATATTCCGGTATTAAGCATACTCATTTCAAAACTACTGCTCCTCCTCCCAGCCAACAGGCATTTGTCTCATATCTTCCATTTATTCTGTCCTTTGCGAACTGAGGAAATGTCAGCTGAACCAAAAAAGCAATGGCTTGGGCGCCTGGGTGGCTCAGTTGGTTAAGCGACTGCCTTCGGCTCAGGTCATGATCCTGGAGTCACAGGATCGAGTCCCGCATTGGGCTCCCTGCTCGGCGGGGAGTCTGCTTCTCCCTCTGACCCTCCCCTCTCTCATGTGCTCTCTCTCATTCTCTCTCTCTCAAATAAATAAATAAAATCTTAAAAAAAAAAAAAAAAAAGCAATGGCTCTACAGGAGCTGATTTACCTGGTAACTAAGTCAGTGCAAACCAATGTAAACAGTTAGCACTGATGGCCACAACAATGGAACGGCCCCTGCAAGAACAATCTGCCTGACCACTTCAAAATTCTATGCCAGTCCAAGAAAATGGAATATAGTTACTATGTGGTGGTGTAAGAAAAGTGAGTTTCAAAAAAATATTTTTGTCTTGTTTTGTTTTAAAGTAGGCTCCACAGCCAATATGGGGCTTGAATTTACGACCCTGAGATCAAGAGTTGCAGCTCTACTGACTGAGCCAGCCAGGAGCCCCAAAAAGAAGTTTTTTGACAGGGATTTGGAAAGTGCTCATCTTCAAACAGCCAGAATGAAACACCCTAACACAGGAGGCTAGAAACATACTGCTGCCACTGCGAGATTTCTCGATGAAAGGCGTGTGAGCAGGCTCTATGTTTTTCCTTTTGTAGGTCTTCGTGACCCGGTCCACGTCAGGCTGTTTGCGAGTCATCTCCTCCATAAACGTCTGTCAAACACAAACAACAGGGATCAGAGTTCAGCGTTTTCTTGGACTAAGATAGAATCCAGCACCTTCTTACTCACAAAGCCCAAGCTCATGATGGAACAGATGCCTTTGTACACTATCTCATTCTTTTCAGGAAACATGGCTGAGCAAGGCACTTCATCAGTTGCTGGAAACCTAAAGGGATCAGACATGGCTTCTGATTCCAAGGAGCTCACAGCTGAGTGAGGAAAATCAGGAAGTCAGTGCAATGAATGGCACCCAGGATGGCAAAAACAGACCGAGGATGAGTCCCCACAGGCCAAGGCGCCAAGGAGAGCTGCCTAGAGATGGGCTTGAGTGTAGTAGTGAGGGATGAAGAACTGGCCAAAGACTGGGTGGAGGGTAGTCCCAGCAGAAGGCACAGTGCAGAGAGATCCAGGGAGCCTGACAGTGTAGTGAGCCAGGGCCCTTCAGATCACTGGCTGAACCCAAGATGCAATCAGAAGAACAGCAGGAGGGAGGGCTGGAGAGGGAGGCAGGAGAAAGATCCATTAAGGCCTTATGTTTGGCTAAGGGACTGGGATTTTATTTGGAGAGCAATGGAGGGCAACTGAGTTATTTTTGATTCAGAGAAGAGACCTGATGAGATCCTTACAGCTATGGTTCCTACTTCAGTATAGAAGGCAGGTCATGGTGGGGGATGAGTTAGGACACCACTGCAGTAACTGAAACAAAACACGGTGAGGGCCTGAGCCAGGGCAGGAAAGACAGAACCAAGGGGTATTCTGGAAGTAGGACAGCTAGAGCCCAGTGGCTGGCCAGATGTGGGGGTTGTAGGAAAGGCAGGCATCCCAGACACATCACAGAAGGTGGGTGGATGAGGAGGCAGGCTTGGAAGGGAGGGCGGGGTGCTGCCTCTGGTTTATACATCTAGACTTCTGGAGATAATGGTACCGGAGATGAAGGAACAGATGTGAAAGGTTTGGATTATAGGCGGTGGCTGAAGCTGTTGGACTAGATAAAACCTCAGCAGTGTGAGAAGAGGGTCAAGAATGGAACTTAAGCAAACACAACACTAACAAGTAGAGAGAGGAAAAGGAAACAGCTGAGAAGACTGAGAAGGAATAGTCAGAGAGATGGGAGAAAAACAAGATGGAAGGACAGAAGTCAAAAGAGGTTTTCAGAAGGAAGAGGCAACTCTGTCACATGTCGAATAAGACAAAGACTGGAAGCACCAGTTGGATTTGGCCAGTGGGACGTGACTGGGATAGTATTAGTGGTCTGATGGGGATGGGAGCCAGACCCAAGGGCCTGGGGAGTGAGTGGGAAACAAGGAGAAAAGACAGGGGACCAGAAGCTTGTTTGAAAAAGGAGGGAGGGAACAATGAGGGTAACTCCAAGGGAACACAGGGTTGAGAGAACATGTCTAGAAGGTTTGGAGGAAAGAGCAAATAGAATGGGAGAGCTTAAAGACACAAGGAAAAGAGGGGATCACAGAAGGGAGAGGGGTGGCCTTGAATAAGAAGATAATCTCTCAGTCAGGAGAGAAGGTGTCAATGTAGGCACCTTGATAGGAAGTACAGGGGGTTCTCAAAGGTGAGGCTAATTATTTACATACACTAAAAAGACTGTATGTCCACAATATAACTAAACAAGAGCCACACTTGCATTCAGTATAAACAATCATGGTCAAAAACCATCTTTGCCTCCCAAGGATATATTATGAAGATAGCTCAACTGAGCTTTCCTTCATTCAGTTTAGTTTGATGTGCTGTTCTTGCCCATCTCTGGGTTTAGGCAAGAGATCTTTCTGCACCCAGGTGTAAAACCTTGGCAGACTTCCGAGATGGCCCATAGGATTCCCACTCCTGGGGTACATGCCCTGTATCAGACCCTCCCCTTGAGGGAGGGTAATACCTGTGGAAAGAATGGGAGAATCGCTTCCTTGATTACACTTTACCATATAAGATCCGTCTGAGCAGGTTGGAGAGCCTCTCCTGCTGGTGCTGAAGACCTACACTGCCTCACTGTGAGCGCGCTGGGCAGTTGAGCCCTGAGGGCAGCCTCTGGGAGCCAACAGTGACTCCTGGCTGACAGCCAGCAAGAAAATGGAGACCCGGGTCCCACAATCACAAGGAGTCCGATTCTGCCAGCAACTGGAGTGAGCCTGGGCGAGAGCTGCAGAGCTGGCTGACACCTTGATTCGGCCCAGTAAGACCCTGAGAGGAGGACCCAGAGGACTCGTGTCCAGACACCTGCCCCATGGAAACTGCGAGATAATAAGCGTGTGTTGTCTGAAGCTGCTAAGTCTGTGCGAATATGATAAGCAGCCACTTAAAACCAAATAGACAGGGCTCCATGAGCCATGCAGGAACACCTGCGGCCGCCAGACCTGGCTACCATACCTGATGCTCAGCAATAAGGGCTTTCACTCGGTCAATGTTCTGAGGGATCGCCTCCTGGTCCCGCTGAATGAGGGTGGTCTCGGCCCACTGGATCCACGCCAGAAGTTCTTCCAAAAGCTCAGCATTAGCCACCAGTTCTGACAAGGCTGTTTCAAGACGCTGCTGGTGCTGCTTTGCCCAGGTCAGGACCTGGGGAGAGAGAAACCATCGCCTCTCTCAGTTGAGCACATCCTTCGTTTCCAAAGTCCATTTTGTCACCTGATCCTAACAATGACCTTCAGGAGGAAGACCACTCAGGCACTCAAGAGGTCTCACCCTTACTCCAGGGACAGAGCTGGAATAAGCAATCAGCACTCATGGAAACAAATCTAGTACACATGTCCTATTATACACAGGATTTCTCAGGAAGGAGGGAAAAATACAAAACCGAGTCCACTGGAATTTATCAGTGAACACATCACTACACCAGCACTATTATTCCAAATTGCTGCTCATTACCGAGAAAACAGTCATTACTAAAATGCTAACTTAACTCTTATTGAGATACCCAGAGTGAGTGAAAAATTCTTATCTGGGAGGTGGGTGGAGAAAACTCAGTAGCGTTTTGTTCCTATAAACCCACTATATGGGGCACGTGTCGTCTTCCTCTAAAACCAGGAACTCACCTCCTCAAAGCGAGCCCGGATGATGGTGATCCAGTGCTTGATGGTAGTGATGCAATCGGGGTGGCAGACAGCCAGGATGGCCTCTCCCATTGCTACTGCTGTGCTAACATCCGCTCGCTTTTCTTCCACTTTCTTCATGAACTCCTAAACAAAAAAGATTTGAAAACCAAAACTAAAGAAATCTACTCTAGCAGCACTGTTAACTTACACTGTGAGAGGGGGAAAGATTTCAGTGTAGTTTTTCCCTCCGTATGTGTTCACACAGGCCCCTACAAGCCTGCATCCCTGTGTCTCTGGTACTTTCTTTCCAGTTCTAACAGATGTGAGGAGGTGAAGGGTTTACACAAGAATGACTGCCTCTGCTACAGGTAACAAAGACGAGGAGGGACACAGATGGGCGCCCCCTTTCCCAGGCTGGGCGTGACCCTCGTCCTATTCTGAGTTTCTCTTTTTTTAAAAAAATCCTGTTTTAATTCGCTTCTGTGTGTATAAACAAACAGTACTGTCTTGGACAAATGACAGCTATAAAACACTATAATATTTTAAAAATACCAGCAACAGAATACCAAATGCCAAAACCAAGATTAAAATCTCCTAGTGGGTAATACGAAAATTAAAAAAGGAAATATTTCCCATCTTATTAGGACAGATTGTGGCCCCAGATACCGCATTGTATTCTGAAGCTTGGTAAGAGGCTCAGGGCCCGAAGCTGATTAACATAAGGAAAGCCAAACCAAGCCCTGTGCACGTGAGAAGTCTAGAGAGGGTGGAATAGTCCACAGTTTTCTTCATATGATACCATGCTGTTTCACTTGTTTACAACCAACATGCATTACACTTTTGTAAAAACAAATGAATGATCTTCAAGGTGTCACAAAACCCACTAGTGATTTGCCTCTCATTCCTGCTATAAACCAATAAGCTGGGCCCATTCCGGTTCTAGTGCTTTGCACATGAGGTCCACAATTCCCAAGCAAAAGCTGCCTTCCTTGAGTGGCGGGCAGCCCTCACCCTTGGGTCACCGTGGGTCACTGCACGCTGGGGCTGGATTACCTTATGGGTGTCAATGAGAGCCTGTAAGGCCTCTGTGTCATCTGGAAGTGCTCCCCGAAAGCGAAGCGTCTGCTCTGCTTCAGAAAGCCACTCCAACAGCATGTGGACTGTGTCTCGAAACTCTTCCGCCTGAAATAACCAAGCACAACAGACTGAACCTCTCTGCAGCCAAGGTCCTGAACACGGGGGTACGCCAGGAAAAGGGTTGGCCCTGAACTCATTAGTGCATCGTAGGCGCTGATGGCCCTCTCAAGGCCCCCCACAAAGGTCATCTTTCATTTGCAGATCTTGGAAAAGCAACTGAACTCCTTTTTTTCCTCTAATACAAATGAATGTTAAAATCTTGTAGAACATTCAGAATATCAATGTTTCACTTTATGTTCATTTTGAGACTGGCTGGAACTGATCCTGATAAAGAAATGAGAATGAATCTGCTCAGATCCTCCCCCTTGGGTTGTCCCCACTAAAGTCTCTGACCTGTTTTAAGGCCTGCTCAAGTCGGCTTTGTTTGGAGACAGAGAGTTTGCACACAGTGTCCCAGCGAGTGCTCAGTTCCTGGAGCTGTCCTTTCACCCATGTGGTGTCATCACGACTGTTCTCAATCAGCTCTCGGCCTGACCGCTTCAGTACCTGAACAGTTCCTGTTCGCTTTCCCAGTTCCTTCTGGAAAACCTAGAAAAGAAAAACAGAGGAATCAGTTTGCTGAGAAATGTTTTGAACCCAAGAAGCAAAACCACAGAGGAAAGGAATCGCTTAGTTCCATTCTCCTCAGTAGGTTCCAGTTGTGCATCTTTTACGCAGAGCGAGACAGGACAATGTGTAAGAAAACCACCCAGAAGAGGTGGCTCTAAAGATGAAGGGCGTGGCCCTGGATAAGCTGCTTAGCTGGAGTCCCAGTTTCCTAACTTGTAACATAGGAATGATGTTATAGCAAAATTTCCAGAATTGTGGGAGTTAAGTAAGAACACATTTGCCACGCGCACAGTAAGAGTTTGATGTAATTTCAAGTAAAGCTGAATGCTTTGTGCTAAAACAAGAGGACATTATGGAGGTTAACATGACAGGTGTAGGTTACACATAAACATTGCTGTGCATGGTGTTGGGCTTGCTTGGGTCAAAAGCAGCTAAAAAAAGAACTCATTTTCATTTTAGGAGTCAGTGGAAATGGAGATCTTGAGGGGTTCTCAGTTTAAATTCATTGTGTGACTCAACTGAAAGATACAAACAGGAAGGGGGGGCAAACCCCAAGATGGTATTTACACATTGCCAAATCTGAATCAAAGCAATTTGGGTAAATTCACTGTGACTGATGCAGAATCCCAGCAATACACACAGAGTGAGGCAAGGTCTCTCCGATGAACAGAGACACAGGCTCGTGTAGCCTTCCCTTCTCGGCTGGATGGGAGCATGCGCAGGCCTGCAGAGGCCGAGGACCCAATGGCTCTGCCTCCCTGCGGCGCCCCTCCCGCCCCTCACCTTATGGGCGTCCATGAGGTTCATGACGAGGTCGAGGTCCCCGTGCACGGGCTGGTCCTCGGCCAGCTGCGGCTCCACCTTGTACAGCCAGTCGACCAAGGCCTGCAAAGCATCCATGAATTGGCCAGAAAACAGCAGGGCCTCCTCCAACTTGTGCTGCCTGAGAAAAGCACACAAACCTCACTGTTTTTAGAGATCCCTTTTCTTTGGCTGGCTCAGTCCTGACTGCTGAATGGAATACTGCTTGAACTCTAGAGAGAGGGGACCCTCCGTGCTGGGCTGGTTTGAAATAGAGTAAAAAGTGACTAAGAGATATGCCTAGACATTTTTAATCAAACTATTCTCTAGAATGGAGTAAGTGTAGTGTAGGAGGTGGGTACAGATGCCCTCCTGGCACCTAAAGAATCCAACGGTTATACACATGGATACACCCTAATCACCTAAGGTCTGTGTTAATCATTTTATACCACTTAGGTAGAGGATGATGGTTTTGGTCATGGTCTGTAGTCAGGAGTTCAACTACCAGCTCTACACCAGTTGTGTGACCCTGGGCTGTCTCATCACCTGTTTGAACCTCAGTCACCTCATCTAAAAAATGGAAGTACAAATAATACAAAGATACCATATTACTTAGCATAGCATAGTGGGTACAAGTGGATAAAAGTACAACTTATGGAACCAAATCCAACAGCTTCAAATCCCAGCTCTGCTGCTTAGTAGCTGAGTGACCTTTGGCGGGAGTTAAGAAACCTCTTTATGATCACTTTTCTCATCTGTAAAATGGGAATAACAGTACCCCCCCTCAGTGGTTGTTAGGAGGATTACATGATTAGTAGCCTCTGTTTGGCACGTGCTCAGTAGTAATCACCCAGTAAAGGTCAGGCATTATGATGGTTAAATGAGGTGATACGCGCAGAGATTTTGCTCGCTGTCCGACACAGTGAGCGAGCTCACTGAAAAGCTGTTAGTATCACAAACTGGTCACTGACAAATATTTGGAGTTACTAATCTTCTGTGGCTGTTGGCTTGAGTTTCTAGGCCTCTCTCTCTACTACAGTAAGATTCAAGCTTAAAATGAGAATTTTAACATTTTTTTATTATTGTCACATTAATCACCATACATTACATCATTAGTATTTGATGTAGGGTTCCATGATCCATTGTGTGCGTATAACACCCAGTGCTCCATGCAGAACGTGCCCTCTTTAGAGAATTTTAATATTTTACTCAACTTATTTTATAACTCTCATTGAATGAAGTAGAAATATCAAGATGCTATAAAACCTATTTTGATGCATTAGCTTTATGGCCATTTTATGGAATCCGGTAATAGTCTGTTAGTTTTGGGATAATACACAGACCCACGAAGCAAATAATCATACTCACCTCTCCACAGACTTGCCACAAACAGTATCCCATTTGTCTCTGACTTCTCCCAGTAAATTGTCAAGTTTCTGAGTGTCATCAGGAAGCAAAGTCTTTTCTTTCAAGGCTCTGCCGGTTCGAATTGTGGTATCATACACAGGCTGTTTGCCGCCAAGAGTTTTCTGAAACTCCTGTTTCCAAAAAGGAAAGAAAAAAACAATGCTAAAAGTCAGATGACGTCTTGATTTGGAACAAAGAAAAATTTTCAGTATTCGGGTTGGTAATCAGAATATGAATGTCCTTACCTCTTGAACTAACAATAGCTTATCCTTAAGAAATTTATCAATTTTTGTTTATACCATATACAGCATGACAATTTCTAAAAGCCTATAGTTTTAACTGGTTACTCCCACAATCACTTTGTTTGAGCTGTTATTTAAATGACCATAACTCTTATGGTTAGACACGGTCTAGATATAAAATGGAATGCTGGTTTCATCACCTTGACTTTCCAACATTAACTGATTTTCTTTTAACTAGCTCTGACCTCCATTTTTAGCAATCTTCAGTGACTACCAAGCTCAGGACCTAAGAACCACGAACTGCTTTACCTTATGCTTAGAGAGCTGGAGTTTAATTTTGTCTGGGTCATTGGATATCTCCAGCTCCGAGTCCAGGTGACTCTCTGCATCTTCTAGCCAGTCGATCAGCTTTTTCCAAGCTTCATGGAACTACAATTATATAAAAAATAACTTATAAAAGGAATGACCATGCAAACTATACTTTTATGAAAATCATTCCAGAGACTCCACACATGTAGCCCAAGGTTGTTCAATAAATTGGTATCTTTCTTTCATAACTCACTTGTTTTGCCCGCTTCCTGGCATCATCCAGTGATCGCCCTCTTTCAATAGACCGCTGGACAACCTTCTCCCATCGAGACTGGACACTAACCAGCAAATTCTTGATCAGAACAACGTCCTGTTTTTGGCTAAGGAACTTTAACTGATTCCCAGTTTGATCCAGCTCAATGATCTGGTCTCGATGAGCACTGACCTCATTAGCGAACACCTGAGGGGAAAATATTGCTCTTTTTAAACTGAAGATAAGAGAGAGGAGCTTCTCTTCCAACTAGTCCTCTCAAAAGGAGGGGAATATCATAATGTCATAGTTACCTTGTGCTCCTCTATCTGGGAAAGGACAGTGTTTAAAATCAGGCTGGGAGGAGAGGCGATGTTGAGATTCTGCTCCGCTAGAGTGAGCCAGTTGATAAACTCTTGCAGGGAATTCTGGAATTCTGTTGCCAGGTTGAGGGCCTCTTCCAGCTTTGACTGAATTTTAATTAAAACACACACACAAAAAGAAAAAGTGCCAAATTCAGGAATTGTAGCTTCAAGGACAAAGGCATGAATTGTACACCAAATGAAATGCCCTCTAAAAAGGAAGCCTCATGTAATCAACCTCCAAACATGCCTTGTTTACAAAAAAGGGGGCAATTTAATGTTAGTGTCTGAAACCAAAACAACCATGTATGAAAAGGAAAGAGCACAATTTGCAGTTATGTTGCTTTTTCTTCCATTCCCCACTTCCTGGGACATTAAAGGACAGGGATGAAACTATTCAGTAATGTACCCAGTGAACAGATCCTTCAGTGGTGACAGCTTCAGGGTCAGTTCCTCCCCGCTTGTGCACATGCTTTCTCTCTTAAATAAATAAGACTTTTTTTTTTTTAAGGTTTTATTTATTTGACAGAGAGAGCACAAGCAGGGAGAGTGGCAGGCAGAGAAAGAGGGAGAAGCAGGCTCCCCGCAGAGCAAGGGAAGCCCAACGTGAGACTCGATCCCAGGACCCCGGGACCACGACCCAAGCTGAAGGCAGTTGCCTAAACAACTGAGCCACCCAGGCGCCCAATAAATAAGATCTTAAAAAAAAAAAAAAAAAAGAGTTGCATGCTCCACTGACAAAGCAAGCCAGGCGCCCCTGAAGCTCATTTTTAATTTTTAAGCTACAAGAAGAAAAGGTAATAAAAGCTGTAATATTCTAAGCAAAAATCTGACAATACTAGATATAAATTTTTAGAAACTTTGATCTAAATCAGAATGGCAAAAACAATGGCTCATTCGGGGCATGTGCCACTGCCCAAGAATATACCCCAATTCCAGAGTCTATAAGCTCTAGTCTCAGAGATAAGCTCTACCCACACACCTAGGGGATGGCCTCTGTCTCTGGTCCATCTACCAGACAGGCATAGTGGAATAATGATTTTTGTAACCTAGGAAAACACTATAATGAATGTTACAAAAACATAAGGGCCCAATCTAAACCAATCAAGAGGAAAAAGAAACTATATCCCTCAAATTTATCATAGAAATGCTTGGAAATTAATATACTGCAAGTTCCTAGATGACAGGAAATCTTTCCACATCATTTTATCTGTATCTTCTTTAATATAGCACCACACACATTTAATAAATGATTTTAGGGATACTGAAATGTAATGTTCTGCAAAATCAGAAATAACTATCCTTGATACCTGGCCCTTGTCGGACCAGTTCCACCAGTCATGGGTAACTATTTCTTGAGGCAACCTGCTCCACTGATGGGAAAGCCTTCTAGAAACTTCTTGATTATGAGCCAGAATCTGCCTCGGTTTAATTAGTCTTAGTTCTGCTTTCTGCAGAATTAGAACAAAGCCTTACATTCAGTTCCTCTGGTCATTCTTCGTGTAAGAGAATTACCAGACCCCACAATAAAAGAACTCTAGGAAATTAACGCTTCTCTCAAAATGTTCATTTAGATGTGTGAATCGTTGTTTTATGTCCTTCTGCCCATTAAATTTCACAATGATAGAGTCCACGCCTTTGCTTCCACTATACACCTAGCAGCACAGTGCCTGGTACATACGTGCTTAGTAACTATTGAATGGATGTGGCCAACAGATTTGAACACGTATTTTACATTTGATCTGCCCAGTATAGAAACTCTGCGCTGAGTGATCATCTGAAACTCGGTATTCATAAAAACCAGTGTTTTGAGGCCTTGATCCCTGATCACTTTTCTTTTGAAGAGAATTTGATTTTTGAAGAAGAATGGGAAGAGGTCACATAATCTACTTTCCCCTGATTTTTAGTAAAATTCTCTGCATACTGCATTTATACTAGAGTCCAAATTCTTTGTGGAGAATGTTAGCCCAACTTCCTGCACACTCTGTTCCCACCCTTCCAATCCCAAGCCAGCGACTCCAACTTAACCTGGTTTTTCAGTAGGAACTCAATTCAGTGATTAATATGGGCTATAAGTTCATCACTGAGCAGTAACAGCCAATAATGTCTTAACTGGTAAAGGCAGAAAAGGAATGAATAATAAAAGCAAATATCAGCAGAAACTAGTGCCGTCAATGCAACTTGACACAGATACAAAATAGAAATTTAACAGAAGATAAGAGAGCTTGACTAGCACAAAAGTGATCCTGAGGATATCAGTTCTGCAACTTCTGGTACCATGTACTGGTCTTCGAAAAATCTCCAAAGAAACTAGATGGTAATTACATGCAATCGCCAAGCAAACTACTCAAGCCCAGTAATCACACCCTGTATTTTGTGGTGATACCTTTCTTTCTTCCATCTTACTGCTGACCACATGCCACTTCTGCTCCAAGAGAGCTACACTCTGTTCTGTCTTTGAGCCAGACCCAGAGTCGTCACGGCTTAGAAGCATGAGCCTGCCCTTGTCAAGCAGTTGATTATAAGTCTCTTCCTTGGCTTTGAGCTGGGAATAGAGTTCCTGCAAAAAAAAAAAGGGCATGAAAGAGACTGGCAATGATAATTCCCTGAGAGACACCCACAGATTTATGAGCACAGTTGGAAAAGTCCAGGAAGGTCTCATTCTTGATTAAAACCCTTTCTTTTGAATTCAATTCAATTGCTGAGCAATGAATCCTACCATTCTTCATTAAAATTAAAATAATTTTGTTATCAAGTAAAGAGGATCTTTTTAAGGATCAGAGATCACAAAAATAGACCCCAATAATTTATTTCTCCGTTTCCTGAAATAGTTGCCTAGAAATTATGTTGCCTTTTTTTCTTAGTCCCTTTCTTAAAATATTGTATCTATTGATTTCCCTAAGTCCCCCAAACACTCTTTTCCTAAGTAGAGACACATCTGTGTTATGTATTTGTCTTTTTTTTTTTTAAAGATTTTATTTATTTATTCATGAGAGACAGACAGACAGAGAGAGAGAGAGAGAGAGAGAAGCAGGCTCCCCGCTGAGCAGGGAGCCCGACGCGGGACTCGATCCCAGGACCCTGGGATCATGACCTGAGCCGAAGGCAGACGCTTAACTATCTGAGCCACCCAGGCGCCCTATGTATTTGTCTTCTTGATGCTCTCACCTTTACATCAATATTCTTATGCCAACAGACTGACCAACTCAAAATTTACCAGCTCACCAATGTATTTCCAGTCCAGCTTCCCTGTCACCACTGCTGCCCGTGGTAGGGGCTATTAATGCCCACATAAAAGCAACAATCCTTAGGTTGTACTATATTGTCGATAAAAATGCATACTTTGTAGACTCCCAGATACATACAGGTCTGTGAACAGTAAGGAGCTGCTGAATAGGGCATTATGTTCAACTTCAAGAAATGTCTATTACCATATGTGTATCAAGCTGTTCCCTAGCAGTTTCAGGAAGTCCTCCTGTGGGCTTAGATGCAGAAAGTTGGGTCTCCATTCTAGTCAGTTCCAAGAGGAAATCTTCAATTTCACTGTGGAAACCCTGAGCCTTTGAGAAAAGACACATCAGCAAGGTCAGCAGTCAATTCTCAGCTTCAAGAGTAAACTTCCTAAATGACCATATGAGGAGCCTATCCTGAGGGAGGAATTCTGGGCTGCTCTCAGGGTGGGTCTGTTGCTGGATTAGCATGGAGCCAATATAGTTATTTCTAGAATCTAGCAGAATCCTTTGGACTTCACTGTAACCTATCACTGATGTCTGATATAACTTGATGAATTGACTGACAGATGGATGGTGGCGGGGGGGCGGACCCTGACTCAATGCAAGAAATAGCCGAATCTGTGAGCAAGCTTTGTTGTAGCCAAGATCTACTAACTTTGAATAGTAACTGAAGAGACTAGGCTACAGACAAATCCAAAAACAACCACTCACAATCAAAGGTATTCTTTCCAGACAAGTTCCAGCATGGAACTGACCTTCCTCTTAAGACATGGAGTGGAGCAGGTGGAGGGGATTCTATTCCACAGTGCTCTCCCTTGACTGGCTCAGATAGGTGCTCCTCCGGACGCGGTGACGCGCACAGCCCCAGCCACCTGGCCGGGACAACACACGTACCTGCTGCAGTGTCAACTGAAGCTGTTGCTCTCTCTCCTCCGTTTTTTGTAACACCGACTCCCAGCACTGGTTCATGGTTTCCAAACGGCTCCTTAGGCTGCTGGCATCATCTCCGGCACTAGATTCAAGAAGCTCATTGCCAGCTTTGTTGACTGTTTCCACTGTGGCTTGATGCGCCAAAACATCATTTTTTAGAACCTAAAAGAATGTTGAACATCATCATTTATTTCCACAGGTATCATCAAGCCTGGTTCTCTACGGTGCACACAATATCAGGAGGCTTCTGGTGACAGTATTTGGTCTCAAACCAATAGGCTAAGAGTTGAAAACTAAGAGCACTTACATGATGCTTTGCGAGCTCAACTTCAATGACTTTTGGGTCTCCGCTTATTGGTCTCTGAGCGTCTAACAACTCCTCAGTGTGAGTCAGCCAGCTCATTAGTTCCTCTAAGGCATGTTGGAACTGGCCAAGGGCCAGGAGAGCACCTTCTAGTTTGTGCTACTCAAAAAAGATAAAAAGGAAACACTTGTCAGGAACTTAGAAAACAGTAGCTGGTTGTCCACTGGTGGACTCTACCACCTGCCTCACCTGCCTGTGGGCAATTTTTTCACCCAGGTTCTCCCAGAGGTGTTTGAGTTCCGTCAACGGTTCTCGGATAATGTCTCTGTCCGTCTCATCTGTAGCTTTCTTTAACATCAGTTCACCCTGGTGATTGAGCTTTTCCATCTCAATTTGCTGTTGGTAAACTTCCACTTTGAACTCCTACCAAAGACATACTTCATGTTAACATCAAACCAAGTCTTTAAAAACGAAAACACAACTCTTCTTCAAAAGCCATTCCCAGTCACAAACCTTCATTTCATTTAACTGATCTTTAACAGTGTTGAGGTCAGTGCCGACAGGGGGCATGGTGCAGAGCTTAATCACCGTGTTATCTAGCCAGTCAAACATAGCCTAAAATAAAGATACAAAAAGTCAAAAGCTAAAAAAAGCACCAGCTGTTGGGAGAGAATTAACATCATCTCTGCTGACATAAGCAGACAAAAATCAAAGTACCCTGTGCTGTTTGTGTTTTTAGGTGGGGGGGTGGGGTGGGGGCAGAGGTAAAGGGATAATGATCTTTACTCCAGTAACATGGAGATTTAAGAATGGAGCCAGCACTATTAGGACAATGTCCAAAATGAACTACACTCTGGAAAAACTGTGAATAAAAGTTAGCATTTGTCATGGCCACCTAGCGAGCTCAGGATGTGGTGAACGTACTGTGCCAGGCTGTGCTTTAAGGCAACCTGGGTTTGGAACCTCCGGCAAGCAAGGACTCACACCGTGTGACCAGCTTCACTGCACGGCCACCCTGAGGATAAAGGTGATGATGGAAAACACGGCAAGAAGAGCAGAAATTTGGAGATCAGTACTTTTCTCATCAGGAGCGGGAAACTTAGGCTAGAAATACCGAAACAGCACTGTCTTAGGTTTGAGAATGCTCCAAGTCCTGCAAGGTGATCCACGCTGATGCTGGCTTTGGAATATGACAGAAAGAACACTGAACCTTCCTTCTGCTGTGGCCTCTCACCTGAAGAGTGTCCTGATACTGCACAGCGGCCTGCATGGCATCCTCAAGCTTTTCTAGCCTCTCCTTCCAGGTTTTGTTTAAGCTCTCCCAGGCATTATTCAGCTAGGGGAAAAACAGATTCTTTAATTAATACCAGTCTTCAGTGTGAGTCCACTAATGTTTCATCTAAATTCCATATCCATTTTTCCCAGACCTCATCAATGCTCTTCTTCACTTCGGGCTTCTCCGTTTCTCCACAGGCAAAAATCAAATCTGCTCCAAGGATTCGAATAAACTCCAATTCTTCATGCAGACCATCGGTCTCTTCCTTAATAGTCTACATGTAAATGAACAGAACATAAGCCAAAACAGAAAGCAGAACAGAACTTCCCAAATTTTGCAAATGTAATTTATACCCTTATCAACAGCAGATGTTGAACAGAACTGTCAATTTCACGAAAGCCTTCAATGTCCTTAATATTTCACCTACCCAAACAGTGAAACTTCACACTCGGTTCATTTCTCTTTACTCTCTCGCACACACACAATATAGATGTTTGAAATATATTTATATATATCACAGTATGTATAAAATAGTCTAGGAAAGGTCTAGTGAGTGCTAATAGTTTACCAAAGGTTCATCCTTCCAGCCTCCAAGAGGTTATAATCTACAGCCAGAAATCTATCACGGGGGTTGTGGGATTGAGCCCTTTGTTGGGCTCTGTACTCAGCGAAGAGTCTGCTTCAGATTCTCTCTCCCTCCCACTCACTCAAATAAATTAATAAAATCTAAAAAAAAAAAAAAATCTATCACAGGGAAGTATATCAACAAGGATAAAATAATCCTGTACAAGACACCAATTTAAGAGCTAAGAGACTAACATCATAGAAACGCTAGGCTATATAATCTTGGAGAAAGTCAGTTCTGTGCCAGATCCTAAAAACTGGTTCATGCACTGGCAATGACAAGAGCAGGGAGGGGGGAGAACGGCTGAAATAAAAGCAAGACAAAATATCAAGACAGGAAATGGCTTACACTAAAGAGACAAAATGAGGTGAAAAATGCATTTAGTACAGGCTCTCCAAAAAGGCTAGAAAAAGGTATGTCAAAGTAACAATTGTTATCTCTGGATGATGAATCCAGAATTTATTTTCTTTCTATCTGCTATTTTTCTACATTAAAGAAATTTACTTGGGGGAAAAAAAAAGAAATTTACCTGAGAAATAATGTACACTAGAGAGGACTAAAATCAGAAAGCACATTCTACTAATGTGAATGAAGTTTAAAATTGATGGGAGAATTACCTTTGAGTGATGGAACTGTCCTATATCACAATAATGGAGGTTGTATGAGTCTATACAAGTGGTACAACGTGTATATTTAAAAAAGAAAGAAATCTCTACTATAACGAGCACATATTTTTTCAAGTGGGAAAAAGTCTTTTAAATAAATAACCACCACCACCACCACCACCACCACTACCACCTTTTAAGGCAGTAGGACCAGGTAAGCAGTTAGCGCTTAGATCAAATGATTTTCTAGAGGACAAACACATAAGAGATGGGGTTTTGTTTCTGTCTCACCTCAGCAGCTTCCACCTGCTGTTTGATTATAGACGGGTCAATGCCTGGGCTTTCCAAATCATGGACAATGTCCTGGGTATCTCGGATAGTGGTCAGGAGAGCTGCCATATCATACCAGAACTTCTCTGCAAGTTCAAGGACATCAAGGAACTTAATTTCTCGCTCTTCAGCCCGAGCTTTGATGTCCTCCCAAAAGAATACCATTTGATCCAACTTGTCCTGGATTTCTGAGGGAATAAAGAACAGATATGAATGAGACTTTCTAAGTACTTGGATCTACTTCATCAGAAATTTCACCTAGTTCTTACCCTTTAAAAAGCTCTAAAAATTTAAAGCGAAGGACAGTTTTCTACCTTTGCTTTATTTATTATTTTGACATTCGTATTTTCCACTTATGTTGGTCTCCCACAGAAAGAGATTACACATTACCACAGAGGTAATGTAGAAATGAGTTATCATCTAATATAAAGGTGCTGCTAAGATACAAAAGACCGAGGGGAACCTAGATGGCTCAGTCGGTTGAGCATCTCTTGATTTCGGCTCAGGTCATGATCTCAAGCCCTGCACCTGACTCTGTGTTCAGTGGGGAGTTCGCTTGGGATTCTCTCTCCCTCTCCTCACACACTATCTATCTCTGAAATAAATAAATAAAATCTTTAAAAAAACAAAAACAAAAGACCTAACTTATAAAGGGGCTGAGATGAGAACTCTGTTTCCACTGTTGTGTGTTGAAACTTGCTTTGTTTCCCATATCAAGTGTTGTAAAAGGTAGTTATGTTCCACCTACTATGGATACTGCAGCTTACTCATATTAGGGGTTAAAGGAGCATTTGTTTCCTGGCCTGGGAATCTAACTACCAATTGTAATCTTGTTTCAATGGGGGAGATGTGCTCTGAATTCTAAATGACTTCCAAATGACTTTGTGGAATACTCATTACTTGGGGACTGCCTTCACATTCAATGAAATGTATCTGGTAGGATGCTACAGTAACTACAGCCTAGAATTTATTCTACTGATTTTCTTTAAAAATTAATTAGATTCAGGGGCACCTGGGTGGCTCACTAGGTTAAGCATCTGACTCTTGACCTCAGCTTAGGTCTTGATCTCAGGGTCTTGAGTTCAAGCCCCACGCTGGGCGTGGAGGCTACTAAAAAAAAAAAAAAAAAAATTTAGATTCATCAAGCACCTTTTGCAGCCAGATCCTTGTCAGCTCCCTGAGATCGCCCAATGAGCTCTTCTCCACGGCGCTTCAGGGCCTCAAAGGAAGGCTGCAGCTTTTCCAGCTCCACAGTGGCGCTCTTATTGTCGCTGATGCACTCTCTGATCTTGTCTACTTCAGCAGGGATCAGTGGTGGCATACGCAGGCGAGAGGAGAGATTCTCCAGAGTCTCCAACATGGGCTCAATTTTATCATGGAACTAAACAAATGTTGGACCATTAGCCTTCACAGTAATACTTCATCATACTTCTGGGGGAAATGTTAGGGAATAAGGCCAGGGTATAAATCTACTACTATTTAGGATAACTTGCATTCAGCCTAGCCCGATGGCTGTCAAGTATTAGGCTGGCCTAAGAAACTGTTTTGGGTATAGCATACCAGTGCTGGCCCATCAAAAAAAGAAAGTAAATGTTTATTTTCAAAACAAACAAACAAAAGATATGCCAGAAATCAACTCATTTAGTGCTGTCACAATACTCCTATTCCAACTAGTGTGACAAGAAAGGGACAAGACCATGAAACTGGTGAGAGTCAGTGTGTCAACATCTCAGATGACAGTTGCATGCAACAGATTAGACCAACAAGTTAGAGGCCCTCCACCAACTGTGTACATGAATGGGGAACTCAATATGCCACATGATTTGGAGATTAAAAGTAACATGGCATGCAATTTAATAACCCACTATATGTAATAGTGAGAAGGGAAAATGTCAGAATGATGGAAGGTAATCAAGGAAGGTCAAATCTATCTTTATTCTAAAAGAACAATTTACCTTCCCACTTTTCTGGTATTTGAATAACATGACTATAATCATAAAATTTTCATTTACAATCTGAAGCAGAGAAAGGGGAAAAGGGAGCCATGCAGATAAGCTCGCCCCCTTAAAAAGCTCTCCAGAACCAACTCTGGATTCATTAGAATAAGGCTTGTCAACTCTAAGTGTCTTACAGGGAAGACACAGTGGGACTTCCTCAACAAAATCACTCCCCACCACTCCCTCACTTCTAGGTTTCACCCCTAGTGAGACTGGCATAATAAACCACACTAACAAAACTTATTCCACTACAGTTAAGGAAATTCCCTTATAGGTAAATTCTCTCAATTCTCAAGCTTCATAAGAACCCCCTAATCCCAGTGGGGGTGGGCACCTTACCTCTGCAATCTGTAATGGTGGGCGCGGTCAACACAACAATGAAATGTGACGATGTGGGGAAGACAGGAGCAGGCAGCAACAACACAAAGTAACACATTCCACAATGTGAGTGAGAGATGGGACGGAAGGTGGGGGGAAAAACTTGAGTAAGTACAAATATTAACCAAGAATATTGAGACTAAACATAGGAATAAAATACCCAGACATGACAAAAATACCACTAACAGTAATATATTAGTTGAAAAGTATGTAGTTACATGCTTTAAAGTCCACTGCTGGTGGCCTCTTGAGTAAGAAAACTAATGTGCCGTTCCCTAAATTTCAAATGTAACAAGCCAAGTAGGAATCGGACTTGTCTTGACACATTTGTTGCTTCAAGATGAATTTATCCAAAATCATCCCTGCTAAAGACTCATCACGATATAAAGTTTTCAAGGAAACTGTCAACAGAAAATATATACCAGCCGAGATGAGTTTTACCCCCACTACAGCGTCAGTATACCAATGTTCCTTGGAACGAAAATGTAGACAGGCAAAGGTTCCTGGTCTACTGATGATGTATCATCAGCACGCTGGTCTAGACATTCGAGACCACAGGGGCACACCTGACACAGAGACCTGTTTAGACTCCAGGGCAGTGTTGAAGGGATCACGAGTTAAGACACATACATACCTGAGCTGACTGGGAAACAGCCTCGTCGAGGGCCAGTGCCCGCTGGCGCACCTCCTCTTTTATCTGGGCATATAGGTTTTCTGCTTTCTGGTATTTTTCCTCCACCATTTCCCCCTCCTCGGGGTTTAACTCCTTTAGCTGTGGACCTATCTTTAGCAGCTTATCAATATGGGGTTTGTGTTCGGCAATGGATTCCCTGAGTTGCTATGTAAAAAAATAAAGTGAGTGTTTTTATACCAGTTTATTTGCTTAAATATTGATCAGATCTCGTATCAACTTTGAGAGGAACAAACTGAATTGCTAAAACCCAGCAAGTCCCAGCATCTCACCATTTATGAAAGAAAAAACAAACATCTAAGTCTTAGGTTCTAACACTACCTAATCCTCCTAATTTTCAAAAGCTATTAGATGTTCCATCACTCGGGAAGCCTTCCCAGACACATCCTCTCTTACTCCCCCAACCTTCCCTGCCAATACAAGTCTAATCCCCCTCTTCTGTACATATAAATACTTCTGTGTACTATATTATAATTTACATGGTTAAATACCTGTCTCCCTCCCCAAACTGAGAGACAGTAAGCAAGACAAGGCACAAATGGCAACATTTCTAATAATCCAACCACTCCTTGACTTTATTACTGGTTCCTTCCAGTTTATATCCTTCTACATATAGGAACACAGAGAAAGGAATTAAGCACAAGCCATTAACCACAAATAAAAGAAACATTAAAAACTATCTTTAATGGTAACAGCATTAAGTGTCTATAGATTCCCCTTTTCCCCTAAACTACATGCCACAAATGCTCTCTGCCCTTTCTTCATGGTTCCCACTCCATCTAGGGCCGAACCAAATCGAAAAAGCCACCCAGCCACACCCATCTCACAACATCCCACTGTGCTGGAAAGATGAAAAATTCCCTTGATGTTTACTTAGTTCTTTACTTCTGCAATGCCTAGGGCTCTGACATCTCCATGCTTTTCTTTAATGCATTCACATTAAGGACAAGGGAAAGAATTCAGGTATGTGTTTGTATTGTGCAAAGATATTCTAACTGCTTAAGACTTAACTTCATAATGCAGAACTTACACCCGGTAGGCACTAATAAATATGTTGTTTTCAAATAAATCGTGGAGCCCATGTTCAGTTCTGCATTGAAATAAAAACCCACATGCTCCTTACCCTCATCTCCTCCTGCTGCTGCCTGAGCTGCTCATGATCAATGGCCGGAGGAGGTAACTGTGTTATTAGTGCCCGGGTTTCCTCAATCCAGGGGCTGAGCTCCTCGTAAGTTTCCCAAAACTGGTTCACCAAGACCTGGGCCCGCTCGAGGCGGGTGTAACGCTCTGAATTGAGCAGACTAATGGCTTCATACTGCTGTATTAGAGACTCTGTCTTTTCCTATGAACAACAAAGTATAACATTTATTACTCTTACGAACCCTTCTTTTAAGGAAAAATGTAGGTGTATATACATTAAAAACCAAAGAATTTCTTTAGTTTTTAATGCTCAGAAATGGATTAATTGAGCAAAATTACAAGTGATTTATATTTTCCATATACTTATCTGAATTTTCTATTTTTTCCTATCATATATATACATATTGTTTCTAGACTTTTTAACACATGAAAGTAGTTTCAAAGACAGTCAAACAGAGCAAGCACAACACAGCATTAACCTCTAGTGAAGACACACAACTTCAGACACAGCATTATTACAGCGGGTCAGTTCAACAAAGAATATCTCAGGGCCTGTGACAGACTTCTCTGCCCATCAAGTTCCACTTGTCTCTTTTCCTCTGACAAAAATGTCTCCATAAACCCGACACCTTGCTTCATACGTTTAAAGTGAGTAGCTTGATTTGAGTATTTCTGAGGAAATAGTGGTTAACTGCAGCCTTTACGAAAACAAACAAAACTGGTCTCTCCTAAACAAAACTGGTCTGATCATTTAGAAGGACTTGAAGAAAGAGTATCTGCATATGGTTCTGAAAAATCGATCACAGACACTGTGAAAGGTAACTCAAAGATCCTTACAGACTGAAGAAGCAATTCCTCTATTATAAAGAACATGAATTTGCAATGTATTTCCCATCATACAGGACTATTTGGACATTTGTGCACACACGGTTAGGGGTGTGAACCCCCCCCAGAACATCAAGCTGCACTTTAATACCATTACCAGTAATGGAGAGGAAGAAACCTTTATCATTTCACAATTGTACTGACTCATCGTGGTCAAGACAAGAACAACATGGTGAATAAATAAATGCAATTCACCTGTAATACAGCTTTTTGCTCCTCCCCACATGTGCCAAAGATTTCACCACGATGACTGAAGAGTTCATCCATCGAATCTTTGTGTCGAATGATGTCAATGGAGAAAGCCTTTGAAAGTGAACTAGAGTTAGGTCATGAAGTAGAAGGACCCCAGTCTGTGTTACCAAAATGTTAGACACGATCTACGAAAAACTCCCGGCTCTGATGGAGCCACATCAGAACCGTTCTATGAAGGCTGACTCTGCCTCTCCATCTATCTGATGGAGCCACGTCAGAACCGCTCTATGAAGGCTGACTCTCCATCTACCTGATGGAGCCGCATCAGAACCGTTCTATGAAGGCTGACTCTCTGCCTCTCCATCTATCTGATGGAGCCACATCAGAACCGTTCTATGAAGGTTGACTCTCTGCCTCTCCATCTATCTTCAGTACTTGTCTTTTAGTAGCTTACAGAAGTATCATCTCTCCTAAAAATCATCCAAAAAACTGCTAACTCTTCTTTCCTGAATTAATGGGCCTCCTGCTCCCTGTTCACAAAGCAAAGAATCCCTTCCCCATCTTAACAAGTATTTTTAAACTCTATCCATCATCATGAAATTGCATTATTCCACTTGGGATAGTCAAACTCGGGCGCCTGGGTGGCTCAGTTGGTTAAATGACTGCCTTCGGCTCAGGTCATGATCCTGGAGTCCCGGGATCGAGTCCCGCATCGGGCTCCCTGCTTGGCGGGGAGTTCTGCCTCTGACCCTCCCCCCTCTCATGTGCTCTCTCTCTCTCATTCTCTCTGTCTCAAATAAATAAATAAAATCTTAAAAAAAAAAAAAAGGGATAGTCAAACTCTCTCATCACTCTAAGCTGGTGAAGATTCTACTCGCTCAGGGCATAGTGGACATGTCTGTGTTACACTTACCTTCTGTACCTGTAGCTGAGCTGTGGTCTGGTCTTGTTCCAGGCGAATTGGACCTAGGGCCATCAGTTTTCGTTTTGTTTCAGCAACCCAAGCTAGTTCTGCATCAGCAGCTTGCTCATACTAATAGACATATTAAAGGAAAATGAACAAATTACATGTAACAAAGGTCCACCTCCTTAGAATTATAATTTCTTCAACACAGAAAGGCCTGGATTTTCACTAACATGGTTTATATCTACGATGTAAAGCCAAAACTGGGGACAATTTCATAAAATCATAAATCAAGATGCAGACAATTTGGAAAGGATTATAGTTCAACAAATATGAGCTGATCCTATTTCAAATTCTTTAGAAAGAAGCTATAAAACCCAGTTAGTGGTCCTACAGCTAGAAACAACAATGGAAATTGACACTCTTAAAAATATACTTCTAATCACAATGCTTTTATGAGACTGTCTTCTCTTTCTGTCAGTTCTTTTTCCTACCCATACACTGAAGAGTAGCTTCAGTTGCATGTTTAAATATATACTTAAACATGACAGCAACAGTTGAGTCGAGTTAACTAGGAAGTACTTGCTCAGCTAAAGAAGCGTAAGAACCCAAAACACCCAACTTTTAAAGGGTCATGCAGAAACAAAGAAAAACTAAGAACATCTTCTATGTGACTGCTATTTAATGTGGGTCCCCCAATTTTTCCTCTTCTTCAACTTTGCCAACCTACACTAATATCTTTTTAAAGAGGAAAATAAGCTCCTCCCAAGCATGATAAATTTCATATTGAAATACCTGGCCAAGTTAGGGATATCAATAAAGACACGTTGGGGTTGTACCTGAAGTCAGAGCAAACTTCTACGTGGTTCACAAAGATTTTGTTCATCATTATGAACCCAATTAGTCATATTGTATTTACTTTGCACCATGACACATTAATAGGTGCATATCCAGCTACAAAGGAAAGCAAATAACTTTTTCCAGAAAGCAGGAAGGAAAAAAGATTGAGGGAAATATGACACCTGTGTTTACTGGGAAGGTTCTATTTTGGATGGCTCTGCTATTTTGGTTAGCATATTTGATAGTAATTATAGTTCTTGGTTCCTTCCCCTCTTCCCCCAGCTAATGCTAAAACAGTTGATTATGTCAAACTAAGATTGGGATGCATTTGGACCTTCTGGTCCTAGATTTTTTCTACTTCTATCAGAATCTGCCTCTTAATGGGGCAGTAGCTGAGAAGAACACTCACACAGACTCTACGTCAAATTCCTTTCTTCTCAAAAACAGTCAAATATTTTCGGTCAAACTGAGATCCATCCTCACATACCTTTACCCAATCACATCCCATCACTGAAATAATTTGTTGCATCAGATTTTGCTTAGTCTCCTTATTCCTATTCCTGAGCCTGTATTTAGGTGGGTCATAGTTTTGTACCTTATACATACATCCCTGCTGCCCAAAATATTAATGCAGAGGTGTTTCTAATGTTTATAAACACATTACCTGTTGTGATCTCTGAATAGCAGCATCAATTTCATCCACCCTTTGTCCCACAGTGTCACTGACCAACTTGTACTGTTCATTGGCATCAGATACAAGTTTATCCAGCCCTTCTCTGGCTCTCCAGGGCACCAGTTCTAAGAGAGCACGGCTCACTTCATTCACTGTGTCCAACACTAGCCTGTGCTCCATGACCTCCTTCTTTAATTCCTAAGGAGGGAAAAAAAATTTTCAGGCCATTCCTTGCTAAATTAAGCACATTAGCAGCTGTGCTGGGTGGAAAGTGCTATCTCTACCACACATCCCAGCAGGGCTCTGACCTCCTTCCTCCGCTTATTTTTTTCCTTGTCTCAGATTTTTCAATCATTCCACAGCCTGACTTTAGGCTTAGCTGCTGCTTAGAACTGTCTGCAACACTTCTTGGGCCAGACTGTCTCTGGGTAAAACAGAGTACCTCTTTTTTTCTCCTTACCTCAATAGAAATGATAAAATAATTTTTTAACCACAGGGATTTAACTCAATAAGTACCTACAAAGTATTTCTGCACATCTAGAACTGCACTAGATCCTGCAGGAAAATCAAATATAATCATGAAGCACTCTCTAGAGAATGAGTTACATAAGTAAATTTTAAAAGTTACCATGTGAAGCAAACTTTCCAGGGATCTGTAATTCAGTCTCCCCCCCACCCCCTTCAGACCATAGCAAGTGGTCTTTTTTTTTTAAAGATTTTATTTATTTATTTGATAGAGAGAGACACAGCGAGAGAGGCAACACAAGCAGGGGGAGTGGGAGAGGGAGAAGCAGGCTTCCCGTGGAGCAGGGAGCCTGATGCAGGGCTTGATCCCAGGACCCCGGGACCATGACCTGAACCATTAACCAACTGAGCCACCCAGGCGCCCCATCACGTGGTCTTACATAAGTCTGCCTTTATGTCAAATCTTACTGTCCATGAGCAAACAAGAAACAGATGAGGCAGAACTTTTTGGTTTAGATTTAAGGTTGAGACAGTTGGTGATGAAACTTAAAAATCTGAACTTAAGGATTTTAAGAGGAAAAATTGTATTCCCTTTACTGTGTGAAATGACAGCTCACCTTCTGTCTCTGCTGAAACTGGGGTATGTGCTCCCCTGTGGGAGACTGCCCTCCACTAGCTGCCAGCTCCTCTTCCACCTCCCTCAGCCATCCGGTCAGTTCCTCGTAAGTAGACTGGAACTTGGTGGCCAGCTGCCGGGCTTGCTCTAAAGTTCTGAGGGCCTTGGAGCTAGTGACCGTGATGTCTGCATAGCGAGTCTTGATTCCATCCAGTTTCTCTTGGATAAGCAATACCTCTTCACCTGTGGGGGACGGCGCACAATTATTGGTATTTAAGAGGAAATGAGGGAGTCTCCTTCTGGGGATGAGGAAGTCTCTTTAATCCCCCTTTCTTCTTTAGAGCTTGAATTTTACAGACGCTCTCTCCCTGTGGTAGCAATTTCACCTACCATCCCACACTAAGGGAAGTGGGGGAAAAAAACCTTCTAATTGATAAAAGAAGCTGCTTCTGAGATAATAATATTAAGATCTGAATTCAACTGCAGGTGTTTCTAAATGTTCCCAGCATTATTCCATGATTGCTGGCCTTGGACATACTGGAGGGCAGGGGGAGCCATCATCTACAACCAAATCTGAGACAACAAGGTCTTTTAGTTTTCAAAAGATTTAGTATATGTGCTGCCGAAGCGAGCACTAGTTTTCACGAGATTTAGCAGGAAATAGGACCCCAGGCTGCCAGTCTCCAGGAGCACATGGTAATACAATCAGTGAATACCAAGCTTCTCCTATATACAAAGAGAAGTGGCTAGTACAGGGTGCTTATTTCCTGGGAGATGGGATTGTGTGACTGCAGAGGTGCTAAAAGATGCACTTTAAAGTACCTGTGGTTTGTTTTAGAAGAGCCTGACCATTTTTAATAGCTTGATCTACATTCTTCTTTCTATTAATGATTTCTTCATTTAAAGTCTGAAATGAAAGAATAGCATTAATCTTAAAACTATGGCACAACAAAGGGAAAGAAAGGTGAGACCTTTAAGAGGGCAAGTTTAAAGTAAAGAGACAAATACCAGGTTAGTTTACACATCAGATATTTGATTCCTTCATTAGCTCTTTGGTGACACCACTAAGTACTCAGAAATAATTAAATCTGATATTTATAGGAAAGTTTTCCCCTGTACTGGATAAGAAGAGATGTAGGATTAAATCAGTTTTACCAATCTACTGGTACCAAACCTGAGCCTAAGAAAGGAGGAAGCAGAATTCAGCAAAAAGGTCTACTATGTCCAAAACCAAGACTCAGAAAGTTAAAGAGAAGAAAGTCAGCAAGAACAGGCTGACTTCAATCAGGATCCTGCTTAAACAATCTCAATATTTGAAGTCAGTGAAGCAGAAGAATCTTAGGTTATTTAAAACAACTACTACAAAACAACTACTTTGCCTATTTTTAATATCCCCAGAGAAATTTCATTAAAATCACATGAGAAGAACAATTTTTTCTTTCTTTTAAGATGACAATTCCTGGAATTTGAGCATATGAATTCTAGAAATATTTCAGAAGTTATAGCTACATGGTCAAACCCTGGGCAATATTTAGGTATTCTGGTTTTGTTAAATTACATTCTCTTTGATAAAACTGCTCAGATGGAAAGTGAGTGATACCTGACCTAATGATGTAAAACATGAGTTGGAGATGAGACGGCCCTGATTGTACTCTAGATCGCCTTCTAGAGTTACTGATTCAGTTTAAGTACAGGTATTTCCATGGACTCATCTAAGAACAGATTAGTCCTTAGCAACAAGTCTATAACTACGTGCTTATGTATAAAATTAAGTTGAAATGTTTGGAATTCAAGGGAGAAAAGAAATGAAGAGAAACATGAATCAAAATTACAAAATAACTTCATAACATGACCAATAAAAATGGAAAACGTGAATACCAGATGGTCAGCATGCTGTTTCTGCAGGACATCCTGTCTGTAATCCTTTACGAACACTGAACTGAGCTTGTCCTCAACCTCAGCCAGCCAGTTGAGCACCTCCACCTCATCCTCCCCGAACAGTCTAGCGTTACACAGTGCTTGTTCAAGCAGGGCTGCTTTCCGACAGCCCCGGTCTTGAATCTCACTGTACCGGGCCTGCAAGGAGTCTAGCTTTTCTGACAGCACGCCCTGCTCTGCAGAGCATGTCAGGGAGGAGAGGGACTGCCCAATTTTGACTGCCTGGTGCACATCTGTTGCATGGCTTTCTATTTCTTCCTCCAGAGCCTGGAAATCCAGATGGAAAAAATGAATAACAGAAACAGAATAAATGAAAAGTAAACACGAAACAATGAATAACAAATGATATAATAAATTAAATAATATAAAAAGTTCACCTACTGAAAGGCAAAAATAATATAAAAAGTGAGAACAAAAGCTGTTTTTTCCTGATGGTAGCCTATTAGTCTATTGCTATTTTTAGTTCAAGGATGGGACTATTCCCATAGATAATTTGACTATATCTCAAATTAAACTTAAAAAAATCCCTCCCCACCCTCCCCCATCAGCCAAACATATCTTTTAGAACGCTACAGGCAGGTAATTCCTAGGCTTTCTGACTGTAGTGCTGTGTTTTCATTCGCCACAGCCTCTCCCTACCTTGTGCCGGATGATCTGCTGCTGTATTTTGGCAGTCTGAGTGCCAACAGGTTCTGAATTGGCAAGCTTTTTCTCTGTGACAGATAAGAAGTCAGAAATAGGCTCAGCTGTCTCATGGAATTGTTTGGCCAGAACCAGGATATCTTCCAGCTGTTTTTGCCTACACAAATATACAGAACAAACTGCTCAGGCGAAAATTCACATTAAGATTGATACGAGTACTATATTCAGTGAAAGACCAATCTTTACCAGGTACATTTTAAGTATCAATAGTAAACAGAACACATATACATAGCACTTTGTGGTTTTAAAGGCTTTCCATAAGCATTGCCTTATTTTGATTCTGTCACCAACTGTGTAAAGGTTGGCAGAATAATTATCCCACCATTACAAAAGAGAAAGCTGACCCTGAAGGCTTAAAGAAAGATCTGTCCAATTCACCCAGTGAGCGGTAGCAGTGCAATGGGGATTCGAATCAGACCTTCTAATGCTCTTTCTCCTACGGGACATAGCACGTGCATCATCTAAACATGAGACCAAAATAAAGTTTAAAGGAGTCAAAAAAAATCATGTTTTCATTTCTCTCTTCCTGTCACTGCTACCTTCACCTGTGAGTTAAGAGAAGCGAGCATGTGAGGGGCAAAGGCAGACTACTGACTAGAACTCCTCCACCATCTCCCTAGTTCCAGTGATTTCAAGCACCAGAACACAACTTTGAATCCAGATCTAAGGCAAAAAAAATGACCTCCAAGTAGCTGAATTTGCCAACACACATGGCAGTCAAAAGAACTACAGACTTCACAGCTCACTTGGAATCTTAAATCTTACTTAATATAACATCCACACTAAATAAGCTTAGATTTCAAGTATCCTGTAGATTAAAAAAAAAAAAAACAAATTACAAAGGGGAGAGGAAGCCTGACAGGAAAGTCAAAGAAAAACAACTACAGAACTGGATTAGCATACAGATTAATAATAAATGGCCATAATTATGTCTTTGAATCATTAAGAACAGACTAAATGCTATACCATTTGAAAAGGCCTGGAAGTATATGATGTACTTTAGTCCAACAAACCTTTACTGAACAGGACCTGTGCCAGGTCCTATGCTGTGTACCCTGGACAAATTTATTTTATTTATTTGAGAGAGAGCGAGAGAGAGCGAGCGAGCGCACGCACTGGGGTCTGGTGAGGGGAGTGGAGGTAGAGGGACAAGCAGAATCTATGCTAAGCACAGAGCCTGATGTGGGGCTCGATCCCAGGACCCTGAAATCATGACCAGAGCTGAAATCAAGAGTCAGACACTTAACCGACTGAGCCACCCAGGCACCCCCAAATTTATTTAATAAGATTTTGCAGGCTTTCAGAATACTGTTCCCAAATTCCAGTTCTCCAGTCAAATTCCCGAAGTTTACACACTCTCAGGAAAATCTGTTCTCTGGGCTTGGTGTCCGTGACTCTTGGGCCTCTGCTCTGGTGGAAATTTCTCTGGACCAGCAAGTCCTGAGACCAGAGAACCTTCCACAGCTCTGAGCCACCCAGGCACCCCCAAATTTATTTTAATAAGAAATGATTTAAATATAAAGACTTACCATTTTAATCATCTGGAAATCTAATTATGTTTAAATATAAACAAAAATGTACTTCTAAATACTGTTTTAATTTTTTTAATTTAAAATTTTTTAAATAAAATGCTTGTTTTTTGTTTTTTAAGATTTTATTTATCCATTTGACAGAGAGAGACACAGCAAGAGAGGGAATACAAGCAGTGGGAGTGGGAGAGGGAGAAGCAGGCCTCCCGCCGAGCAGGGAGCCCAGTGCGGGGCTCGATCCCAGGACCTGGAATCATGACCTGAGCCGAAGGCAGCCGCTTAATGATTGAGCCACCAGGCGCCCCTGGTTTTTTTTTTTTTAAGATTTTATTTGAGAGAGAGAGACAGTGTGTGTGCACAAATGAGCAGAGGGGGAGGGAGAGAGAGAGAATCCCAAGCAGACTCCCTGCTGGGTGCAGAGCCCGATGTGGGGCTTGATCCCACAACCCTGAGATCATGACCTGAGCTGAAACCAAGAGTCGGATATTCAGCGGATTGAGCCACACAGGTGCCCCTATTTTTACGATTATTATTTTTAAATGTTGAAGAATATGAAGCTGTTATCTTTATTTTTTAAGTAAACTTTACCCTCAATGTGGGGCTCAAACTCACAACCCCAAGATCAAGGGCCATATGCTCTACTGACTGAACCAGCCAAGTGCCCCTCTAAATGCTGTTTTTAAATGTCAATGTGAAGTACAGAATAGTTTGTTTATGCCAGCCTCCAAAATACATCTTCAATTAATATAACTAAAGCACATAATTTTAATGGTTATTTAATAAACTAGTATATCATGAAAAAAATTATCCTTGATTTTTATATTTTTCTGACTCATCTCTGGAGTTTGGAATCTGAAAGTTTAAAGAACTCAATGTAATAGGATTTGGGGTAGCAAAGAGCTAACATAATTTAAAGGTATCAAAAATCCAATATTAAAGAATCTAAATAAAAGTCTTTAGGATATCTCTAACAAATGCAGTTGCTCTTGGTATTTCTCTTTAAAATATTGACCCAGAAACTGTGTTAGGTTAGGAGGATGCAAGTGGGTAGGATAGAAGGAAAGAGTCATAGAAAGATACTTTAGAAATAAATCAGGACTTCAATGAGCTTATGGGCGTAGGAGATTAAGTACATAAAATAATGATACAAGATACAAATAAAGAATTACAGCAGTTAAGAGGAAGATGAAGGCATTCTATGCTTGAGGAACAAAGAAAAGCTTCATAGAAAAGGAGAAGATAAACACAGGTATTTCATGGAAGATGCAACACCATCAGTAAAGACGCAGAATTAGGAAGTGACAAGATGCTGAAGAATATGGTGTACTTCACCTATAATATAAGTAGTGAGGAGAGCAGAGACTAAGAAATGTAGATTAGGGTCAAACAGCTGAGGGCTTCCAGTGTTGGGTTAAAGAGTTTAGATTTTATCTCATAGGCAACAAGAAGTCATTAAATTTCTGAGCAAGGTAAAGGGGAAGCCGAGTGATGATTCACTAGTGATGAGTTAGTTAGGGAACTACCTCAGGTGAGCTACCTCAAGTGGACTAGCTCAAGTCAGGAACTGAGGTAGGTGACTGGGAATTAGAGAAATGGATGAATAGGGAAGACACTATAGAAGTAAAATTGACAGAATTTAGCACCCTAATAGATGTGGGACACAAAGGAGTGGGGGAGAAAGGGTAAAAATGGGGTTAAGGTTTGAAGCTTGGTAACTGGAAGGTGAATGGTACTATTAATGGAAATGGACAAAGAGAAGATAAAAGCAGTGCAATCTGGAAATAAAAATAGCGTAATTAAAAAAATTAGGTTGAGTTCTTTCCTTTTTGTTTCTCCCACTAATATGATCGACAGTATTTTGCAACTCAGATAAGAAATAAGCACACCGTGGGGCACCTGGGTGGCTCAGTCGTTAAGCGTCTGCCTTCGGCTCAGGTCATGATCCCAGAGTCCTGGGATCGAGTCCTGGGATCAAGTCCCGCATCAGGCTCCCTGCTCAGCGGGAAGCCTGCTTCTCCCTCTCCCACTCCCCCTGCTTGTGCTCTCTCTCTCACTATGTCTCTCTCTGTCAAATAAATAAATAAAATCTTAAAAAAAAAATTTTTTTTTAAAGAAATAAGCACACCGTGGGCCAGCGGAAATGAGACCGAAGAGCTAGCTAGCTGACAACTGCCACTGGCTACCTAGAAAACTGAAAGAATCCTAAATGATCACCTACACTACTCTCATATGGATTTCTAACTAGCTAGCGTTTATTTTTAAAACCAGGGACAATATAAGCTAAAAGACATTCAGGCGACATACTAATAAGCTTAAGTAATGTTGGGGTATATAGCTATGGAAGGAGAAAGCACTTCCTCAGAGGGGAAAAGTATGCTGCCTGTCTTCTGGCCACTTACTGAAGACTGTTCATGCATCTCTTGAATGTCCATATATTTAACAGAATCAGACTAGCTCCTAGATGCAAAAACATCTAATACTGGGATAAGCTATCAGAAAAGAAATATGATAAATTTCAATTCCAAGTATCAAAAGTATTATTTATAAATATGAAGGGGAAAAAAAATCTGTCTCAAAAACTCAGAAAATAACTTGGCTGGATTGCAGGTGTCAGTGTCTGTCGGTTTGGAACCATGATTATATCTCAGCAGAACAACACAGAGCGATGAGCCTTCCAGTTCTCAGAAATTCACGGAGTAGCTGAGGCTTACTTCCCGAGAGTGACTGTGATTATGAGGATCATCTCCAAAAACCTATTCCCCTTCATTATATCCCTTCCAGAACACTCTAGGACTCATCCAGGACCTTATAGAGCACCTCAAGGATAGTAAGTCAAAAACCGGACAAAACAAACGTTCTCTGACCCATTCCTCAAAACCCCTTTGGCCTTACCTGGCTGCTGCCTTGCTGAGTAGTCCAGTCCATCTACTTTCAAGACCCTCCAACTGTCCAGTGATTTTCTCTCGATCAGCCAGCTCGGCTGACTGGGCTATTCTGCCTCCTTCTGCTTGAAGCATATCTACTGTGGCCTTTCGATCATCAAGGAGCCGCTGGAGTAACTAGGGCCCAGAATGTTTAAGGAGAATGAAAAGTGGTAACACAAGGTCACTTTAAAATCTGAAATAAGGAAGAAAATACAAACAAACAAAAGATCCCCAAGCCCCACCCTACCAAACCCTAAACTGAATCAAATAACGGTGGCTTTTTTCCCATCCTGAGGCAAAAACATGAGATGCGGCATAGTTGTTGCTACCACCACATAAGCTTCTCATACACTTACTTCGGTTTTTAAATGGAGGAGTGACGGTCATTATGTGACTAACAGGGAACTTATTTTGAACCAGGAGAAAAATGCACTAAAATGGAAATTAAACCAACAAAAAAACATAGACAGAACCTTATACATGATATACTGTGTTATTCAGAATATCGCTGACCTTAAAAATACCAAAAATAAGACAAAGCTGTGAGTGAAACACTGAAGCAGGACACACAAACGCATGCAACTGTTCGGTCCAGCATGTGCCACAAGAAGCTGGTCCGTTCAAGTAAGATGAGGCAAATCAGTTTCCACCTTTCTTTTCATGATCACACAAAGTAGGTCAGGATTCTCTTAAAACTCTGGAATATGCTCCTGAACTCAAGCACATGTGTTGTCTGCCACTCCCCACGGCTGTTCCAGTTCATCATCCCAACATTCTCACTCACCTTCTGTTCTTGGATCTGTGCTTTCACCACTTTATACTCGGCAGATGGAGGTTTCTGATTGGCTATGAGCTCCTCAGTGTCTGCCAACCAGCTGAGCAACGGCTCCAAGGCATCTTGAAACTTCCCACAATGCAACAAAGCCTCCTGCAGTTGTGCAATCCTTTGTGCGACCTGTATCACAGACGCAGAGGCTCGTTATGAGAAAAGAGAGCTTTTTAAATGACAACTGCCCCCCCCCCCAACTCTGGATTACAAATGTTAAATTTGTGTTTGCCTTCAGGTTGCAGGGAAACCTCAGGTTGAGATGTGCCTTTTCCAAGCCCTCCATCCCCAGGGCACTAGGTACCCCCTGGCCACTCGCCTTTTTGTTCAGTGTGTTCCATCGAGCGTTGATCTCTTCCATGTCATGTTCCAAACCCTGCACGTCACAGTTTTTTCCGGCACTCTGAATCAACCCCTGGCCGAGTCCATTCACCTGCTGTAGCTTCATTTGAAGGGGATCCACCTGCTCTTTCTGAAACATCTAGATAATTGCAAGCCAAAGATTTAATCTAAAGGCAGCAATCAGACCCTCTCCATCACACAATGACTGATCATTCTTGGGAGATTTATGATTTAACAAAGGAGGAGCAGGAAAAAAAAGAGAGAGAAAACAAGCCATTTGTACAGGGAACTATCAAGGAAACATGTGGTTTCATATTTCAATACATCCTCCTATGGACAAGTAATTACAGAGAGTTATGGCACTACTTAGGTCTTTTAGTCAATGATTCGTGGTTGGTTGGTTGGTTTCTGCTTGCTTAATTTTTAATGCAAAAAGCCATAGAGAGTAGAGAAGCATCAGCCTCAAGATATCATAAAAGTGTGATGTATATCAATCCTACAAGGGAAGGATAATACCGAATGACCAGTATTTAAGATTAAAAATACCTTGGGGAACAGCTTTAGCTGACCACTGATACATGCAGTGCTCTTCTTTGACTAGGACTATAACTCAATTAGCCAAAACATTATTAATGTTGTGAAAAACGCCAACCCCATAGTTTAATCCCCCTGTGGTCATTTAATTCTATTCTGGTCCAGGGCCATAGACCACACACTGCTAATAATCTTGGAGCAATATTCCTGAGATTGCAAAGGGAAATGAGCCCGTAATACTGGGGAATGTCCTCACCAACTTCAGACACATACTCTGAGATGCAGATATACATAAAACATTCTTAAATATGTATATCCATGTTCATCATTGAACAATGGAATTTTAAAACAATGTGAAGGAGTGTAACAAACAATGCATGTTTCTTTCTACTGCAGTTAATAAACTCCATTATGACTTAGGAATTATTTGTCTTTTTATCTATTTATCTATTTATTTATTTATTTGACAGAGAGACATTGCGAGAGAGGGAACACAAGCAGAGGGAGTGGGAGAGGGAGAAGCAGGCTTCCCGTGGAGCAGGGAGCCCATTGTGGGGCTCAATCCCAGGACCCGGGGATCATGACCTGAGCTGAAGGCAGTCGCTTAACCACTGAGCCACCCAGGTGCCCCTAAACATTTCTAAAAGGAAACAGAGTCAAAAGAAAATGATACTTTGACACTCTAATGGTATTAAGGAAAAGAATGAAATAGATAATTGTCTCGAAGATACTTCTCTCGATTATCAGAGGATAAAATCAGCCACATTCCACACATTTTATAGACCCAATCTGGATCTACTGCCATTCTTTTTTCTTCCATAAAATTTTCCTTCAGTTTCAGTGAGACAGGTGAATCAATTAAAGCCAAAGAATGACAGAAAATGGAAGAGAACAAAAATGTAAAAGAAAAATATAAGCTTGGGTTAAGATTAATTTTGGCCTATATGAGACTACAGATTACACTTGGATTAGGAAACTGATTCTTGAAAGAATGGGCTATGGCTGGGTAAGTGAGTCACCAGGGAGGAAAAGCCCCGGGGAACACTAAAGAAGGAAGGCTACAAAGGTAATTACCAGTGGGCTTCATTTTATACTATAATTTGATTACACCATATTTTGTTAGGCAACACTACAAGGCGGTTCAGCTAAAAATGACTGTTACCCCAACAACATGATTCCCGGAAAAAGCAAGTGCTATGATTCCATTTTCTACTAAAGATGTTTTCAACGCAGGAAAATCAAAACAGAGGGGGGAAAAACCAACTCCAACGTTATCAGTTGCTCGGGTGCAACAAAATGGTGGTGGTGGTAGGTGTGGGGGTTGGAAAAGCAAAGAAAGAAAACCGAAGGTGAGGAGGGAAGACGTCAAGTTCACACTGAAGAGCCCCCTTTTATCCAGTAAGCAAATCTTGTCTCATACTTGACATTTAAATTCCTTAAATTAAATTTAACTAAAAATTCAGTTCTTCAACCACATTAGCCACACTTCATGTGGTCAACAGCCGTATGCAGCTACGTGCCTACTGTACTGGGCAGGATAGACCGAGAATCTCTCCATCTCGGCAAGAAACTCTATTGGATAGTGACATACATGACACAGAAAAGTAAAATAATATTTAAATAACTTAATCATCTCTTTCATATAACAGAGCAAATTAATTCTTTTAAAAAATTTGCATTTACTTTGTCCATGAACATTTCCTATAGAAGCATTAGAGATTCCTTCGTTTCTCAACCTCCACTCCATGGATTAAGTTGACAGGGAATGGGTATTTGTCTCAACTTTTTTCCAGAAGTTTGAAAATCTAGGATAGTACTTCTAAATAAATACTATCTAAATATTTATTTTGAACACAAGTGAACAGAATGTTATAGAAAGTACATTTGAAAACACTTGCTCCCTTCTCTCAACTCCCAAATAAAGCTGTTCTGCAAAATCAGTGCTTTTGGATGCATTAAAATTCCTACTCCTCAGTTTTCAATGGGGCTGTGCCATATTATTAACCAACCAGAGCTGGCAGACGTTTCCCAGTGCAGAACACTAGTAAAATTACTGCAAGGGTGTAAGATGCAACTGGGACATAAAACAGAAAATTTCCCAAAGAACTTCTTAAAATACTTTTATCTTTGATAATACCACATTCTCCCAGTTTTCATCCCTGATCCATTTTTTTTTTTTTTAATCTCCTTTGCTCTCTTCCTCCTCCCTTCTAGACCTCCAAATGTTCATCTTTGGGGGTGGGGATCAGGGGAGGATGTCAGTCCTAGGTTCTCTTCTTGGCAATTCTATCTATTCCCATGGCTTTAAATATTAATCATGATGCTTATGGTATGTATGTGTGTGTACATGTGTGTGTGTGTGTGTATCCGTACATCCCAAAATGAATCATGGGTACTTCAAAACCCTAACCATTCCAAAACTGAACAGTATCTCCTCCTTTCCTCTTCCCCCAAATCTGTTCTTCCCTAAATCAACAATTTACTACTGCCCCCATCCACTCAGTTGTACAAACTAGAAGCCAACCTTGATAACTCCCTTTCCTTCTCCCTCCCTCCCTACATAAAAGTCATTATCAGGTCTTGTTGATTCTACCTCCAATACATATCTTGAATCTAAACAACTGTCTTCAAATCCACTGACATCTCTCTAGTCCAAGCCACCGAAGACAACTGCAGTAAACTAGCAGGCCTCTCTCTTCTCTGTCCTTGATCCCCTATAATGCACTTCACACACTGAAGTCAGTGTGATTTTTTTGTTTTGTTTTTTTTTGCAAACCAGTGTGTTCTCTATTTCATGCCAATCATCCTAAGACAAACTAATAAATTAGAAGACAAAATAAACCTCAGATTTATAAACTCCAGCCAATGCTGAGAATGTTTACTGTCTGTGTTGACTGGTTTTCTCTATCGTTAGGCTGAGAGTAATGTTTTAAAAATGTAAAATGTAAAAATGTCCCCCTGCTTGTGTTCCTGCTCTCGCTATCTCTCTGTCAAATAAATAAAATCTTTAAAAAAAAAAAAAAAAGTAAATGAAATCTTCTCACTCCCCTACTTAAAATCTTTATTTCCCCCCCCTTTTTTAAAGATTTTATTTATTTATTTGACAGAGACAGACATAGAGACAGAGGGGAACACAAGCAGAGGGAGTGGGAGAGGGAGAAGCAGGCTCTCCATGGAGCAGGGAGCCCGATGCGGGGCTCGATCCCAGGACCCTGGGATCATGACCTGAGCCGAAGGCAGACGCTTAACGACTGAGCCACCCAGGCGCCCCTTCCCCCCCCTCCCGCCCTTAAAAATCTTTCAATAGCTTCTCATGGCTTTTAAAGTATAGATCCTTTTGAAAACTTCTTAGTCCCCGCATTATGTGGCCTCTTCCTACCTTTCCTGATTTACTTCAGGGCTCTCCTCCAGAATCTTGCTCACAGTGGGCTAGCCATTTGGCCTTCTTTGAGTCCTAATACCCCAAGCTCTTCCCAGCTTCCATTTCCTTTGCCTGGAGTATTCTTCCCTCTGACTCTCTGCTTAAGTAACTTTTTTTTTTTAAAGATTTTATTTATTTGAGAGAGAGAGAACACACGAGAGGGGATAGGGTCAGAGGGCAAAGCAGACTCCCTGCCGAGCAGGGAGCCCGATGCGGGACTCGATCCAGGGACTCCAGGATCATGATCTGAGCCGAAGGCAGTCGCTTAACCAACTGAGCCACTCAGGCACCCTGCTTAAGTAACTTCTATCAACCTTCAGGTTTTAGTTTTAAAATCCTTTCCCTGACACAGTTATATAAATACCCATTATTTGTTATAGCCTTTATTTTTTATTCAAAAAATTTGTTGTGATTTGCAACTATATATTTGTGTCTTTTTTTTTTAAGTTTATTTTCTTTTTTTTAGTAATCTCTACACCCAATGTGGGGCTCAAACCCATGATCTTCTGGGGCACCTAAGTGGCACAGCCAGTTGGGCATCTGACTCTTGGTTTTGGCTCAGGTCGTGATCTCATGGTCGTGGGATCGAGCCCTGTGTGGGGCTCCACACTCAGCATGGAGTGTGCCTGGATTCTCTCTCCTTCTGAAATAAAGAAATCTTAGGCGGGGAAAAAAATCACATGCTCTCCTGACTGAGCGAGCCAGGTGCTCCTGTATTTGTGTCCTTTTTGCTTAATATCTGCCTCTACTAATATAGTGTAAGTTCCACATGGGCAAGGACTATGCCAATCCTATTCACTGCAGGAGCCCCAATACCTGGCACAGAGTAGGTATGCAATAAATATTTTTCCAGTGAATGAATGAATACTTGTATAAAAATGGAATCAGGCAAGGCAAACAAATTTAGGAAGGTTCTGCCGATCAGCTAAGTATTCAAACACTGAGCTAAGATTGTAGGGCTCTCCAATTTTTGCTTTAAAAGACTTTCTTGTAAATTTTGAATTTTATAGAACCCCTAATTTTATACAAAAGATTTTTTGCCTTCCATTGAAATAAGACTGAGAAAGTCTGCAAAAGAGGGTTTAAATAACCACAGATTGCTCTCAGTGGGCGTAGGATCCCACTAAAGGGATAGCAAACAAGTTCTAGCATTTTGGTTCTTCTACCAATCACTCGTTAATACT